TCAGCCTGAAATTAATCCATCATAGCACACCCAAACTGAACTATGCCCACCTACAGAGTAATGACAAGCACATAATTTCCTGTAACATATCTGAAACTAGAAAGAGAGCATAACAAATACAAAACCTGTTTCCAGAGTGTATGAACTTTTTGTTAAAAATTAGGAAACAGAGGCTTTATTTAAAATCTGGTTTCAGATATAAGAGAGTTTTAGAACAGGCAGAGAAGGATGGAAATCAGAAATGGGTAGATGGATAGGGGAGCATAATAAATTTTGTACAAACTTTGTTCTCATGTAATTCTAGTACTGATACTTAGCCCTGATGAAAGCATAAGGGAAAAAAACAGGGATTTCTGACCCAGAGTATGTCTGACTGCAGGCAGATGCATCAAATAAAAGTTGAGGGATTCTCCCTTGTGGGCATGTAAAACAGGTCCCCTCCAAATTTTGCAACAGAGATTAATTTAGTGGTAAGAATTGAACTTGTCTTGTACTGGCCTCTGTCCCTGAGAGCCTTTTGGACTCTGATCAAGCCTCATCTTGCTTATCTCCAGAACAAAAAAAAACCCAAACCAAAACAAAAAAGCACCTAACAGAAATTATTCTCTCACTTATCTTTGGGTATGTATGCAAAACAACATATTTCTGTTCCAAGTTTTCTTTTTAATTACATGTTCGTTCTTCCTACATTAGGACAAGTTCTAAGAACCTCCTTCCTCTCTCAAAAAGCTCCTTTTGTTTTCTTCATATTCTGGCCTTGTAACAAGCTTCCCATGGCTGGCATAATTTCTATGAGCTGCATTTATCTTTATTTCAGTTGTAGTCTGGCTTGAACCACAAGCTGCATTTCCCAAAGAATTTTAAGATTATTTTCAGTTGTAACTTTTTATTTATTTTGGGGCATTTGGAAGTGTCCTGCCTAGAAGAGTTTCACTTTTTCAGTCAGCCTTGGTTCTTACAGGAATTAATTATTTATGTCTAACTCCTATTTTACTAATTTCAGAGTAGAAAAGTGGCATGTGAAGGTCAGAAGTCTTAGTAACAGTGAATCAAGCTAGCAAATGCAAATTTGTATGTACCAGCTATTTTGTATGAACAAAATTGCATTCACATCAAAGCACATGTCATTACATCCTATATTCATTAAGGTTTTCTTTGCCTTTAAAAATACCATAGTAAATAATGAAAAAATATTAATTTGCTGGGAATATATTAGTTAATAAAGGTGATTATTAAAGGGAGACTGTTAAATTATTTAAATATCGCTGTACTTTTTTAAGTGAATGTGTATAAACATGCAGATGTGTAGGTATTAATACGAGTGTTTACGTGTATGTAATTAGTACACATATTGATGTACTTAAGACTACATGCATATGATAGTACTAAATCTGAAAGAAGTTAGAAACCAGTGCATTGGATGACTTTAAACAGTGATTGATACAAATGAAAAAGTCTTTGTGTGTGTGTGTGCATGTGTGAAGCAGAAACAGCTTTTTCCATTTTTACACAGTTCAAAATAAGATCAAATATAAATACTTCATGACTGGGAAGCCTGTTAGTATATGCCATGCTGCTGATGTAATAATGCAATACCAAAGCAAAACACATGGAGAGTTGTGGAATTCCCATTTATTTTTCTATATTGAGAGCGTTTTGTGACTGTTCTGATGCCTTGGACGACCTCGTGGTTGCATCAATGCTGTAAGTCTCAGGGAAGCAGAGGCAGAGAATTGCTGTGCTCAGCAGCACCACCCTGCAAGCAGTGTGTCCTGTCAGCGCCTGCCTGCCTGCTCCTTTGCACCTCAAGCCACATGAAAGTCAACTTTGTACTAATCAATTAGGTTCTTCATTTTCACCAGCTTATTGTTAAGGAAGGATTTGTGAATTCTCCTGTTCTGGCAGAGAGAGGTCTCCTGGGAAGCTCAACGCCTCAAAGCAGGGCAGGCAGTGCTGGTCTGTTACAGACATGCTTGTGATCTCTCAGCTTCTGCATTGATTTGCATCAAACTATGATTTATTTTGTGAGTAACCCCACTGACATCAAGGTAACTATTTGCAGAGAAAGGTATTCAGTTTAATGTGAGCATGGTTGGCAGAGTCTGGCCTGTGGTACTTTGATGCCTGCAACAAAATGCTCCTGTCATCACAGGAGCTGACATGGTGTCACAAACAATTACAGCTTGAGATGAGCTGCTGTCCTGACTGGGATGTGGGTGATTGTTTCTGGAATAGATAGAAAGTTCTCCAGTTGTATGAAATAAAGATACTCAGGTACTGCAGAAAGATGCTCAAATTTGAACTGATGTTTGTTGAGACTGAGTCTGTGCCCTCTTCTCTCACTTCTTGCGGAGAGCAGAGGACACTGCACCATGAAGTGCTGTCCAAAACTCAAATGAGCAGTGAACAGGTGGTACATTGTCAGGCTATTTCAGATCATGGAAACCATTTGTCCAGTTTTAGATTGCTATTGCTAGCAGCATGTCTTTCAGTTGCGAGAAAGAGAAGAAGTTATTTAAGACTTACACGACTCCTGTTGCCTTTCAGAGCATGCCAAGTGGGATTTCAGGAGGAATGCTTGCAGATCGCAGGCAGCTTCCCCTGAATCTATTTGATGCAATTCTGATTTATTTTCAATGTGAAACATTGGAAAGAGCTCACACAGCAGTTCAGTTCATGCACAAATTCATTTTGGAGTGGGTGTTTGGGGTTCAAACGCAGTGAGCAAGAGGGATGAAGAGGCAATTCTGATTTCTTTGATGTACTTCATTTATATAATCTCTCCACAGCCTGCTTCAGTGCAGTGTGTCCAAGACCCCAAGGGTATGGAGCTGGTGTGTGTTAAAGTTGGTCACTTTCAGTATCTCTGAAGTCAGGGCAAATGAGACAGAAGTCAGTGATGTGTCCTTAAATACAGAAGCTGCCTTACCAAAATACAGCACAATAAATTTACCAGAGGAAGGGTGATGCACAGGGTGATGCAGCAAGGCCATGGTAATGGCCAGTGGTAACACTGAATTACCAAGACACCTTTTGAACTTTATGGACTATGCTGTATGATATTATTTTTCAGCTTCTTCTGACGAAGTGTTGTATCTGAGATTCCAGAGTGGCTGGGGGACATAAGTGCTCAGTGATTTCGGAGAAGAGTAGGCAGGAAAGGTCCGCTGCTGTGCAGGGACAGGAGCACTTGGACATCCTCAAGAGAAAGATAATTGTTCTGTAATGTAAGGAAAAGCTTTTCCCACAAGCTTTGAGCTTTCTTTGTTGCCCTGTTCACGTGCTGGCATGTGTTGGGCTGTACAGGACTAGGCACATCATTTCTGCCTGGGTTCTGGCACTCGCATGGCCGCAGTCCGTTCTGCTTTGAGGCTGTGCCTGCAAGGAGAATGAAACAGGTCAGCTGAGCTGTGATGTTCACTTGCTGCACACATTCCTGCATTTGCTCTAGAGCTGGAAAGCGAGGGCTTTTCTTGGTGAATTCCTATTTTAGGATTTCAGAATGTGTCCATCCTATGTTGAGATGCAAACAAGTGCTGTCATTTCTTACATGGCATTTATTTTGGTCTTAATTAAGTTGATTAACATATTTATCTACCCTCTTCACTTGGGAGTCTATTAGTCTCTTACTGAACAGAAAACAAATCCTCTTCTCAGTTGCTGCTCTCTTTCTAAAGCTCTTGTGGTTTGCCAAGAATCTAGTCTATATCAAGTGTAAGATTTCATGACAAATGGCATCCAACCTGCTAAAACATTCACTGATTTTCTTTAATACCTTTCAACTTCCTCAACATTCTTGGCCTCCTAACAGTGTCAGACCCCAGGTTTAGGGTGTTGACTGTTACACAGGCTTTTCAAGGTGGGAAAAAGGAGTGAAGATTATGAGATTGTACCTTTCCAGGAATAAATATATAGTCATTTTGTTACTCATTCTGTCACATTAGGATTTTTAAAGCCACTGCCTTATTGCCACATAATATATAATGCTGCATTTGTGGATTAATTGAGATTCTTCTCTTCCCTCTTTTATCCCTTTACCTATTTAAACATGGAATTTGTAAATACCAGCTGTAACTGATTTTCTCTCTCTCATGTTCTCTGGCTACCAGTTTACTCTGTTCACAACTTTCATAGATTAAATTCACCAATTACATAGATATAGTTATATCATCTATACTTGGGGTGATGCTTAAGAAATCCATCTATTCCTCTCTTTTCAATATAAATAACCTTATCTTGAATCTGTGAATTTACAACTTTGAAATACAAGAGATTGCAATAATGACTGAATACCTGTTGGGCAGATATATTCCAATTACAGAAGTTAAATTAATTCAGTTTGACAATGTTTGTGGCAATAATCAGGGAAGTAACTCAGTCCCCAGTAGAAATGTCTGTGTTTGAATACATCTAAAGCACTATTATAACACTGTTGGAGGGAGCTTTTTATTTTCTCCTCCAAGTCTCCATGTAGATAAAAGGGATGAAGAAGAGAATGTGTAAAGACACCTGAATTGAATTAATTTAATTGTCTTTTAAAACATAAATGTGTTTTAGTCTTGTGGACATTCTGCTCAAACTTTGGAGGTGGTGCCTTTGTCTAATTATTGCTGAAGTAACACAATTAATGTTCTTGCAGGAAGTGTGCATATTTTTTACACAATAGAACATTATACCCGTCTTGTAATTTTTCCTCTTTAATGTGTGCCAGTAAGGCATTTGGGAGCATGGATTTAATGCATTTTTGTATGTGTTTGCTTGGATTTTTTTTCCTTCATCTGCAAGACTTGTTTTAGTAGGAAGAAATAACTTTATTTTGAAAGAAGTATCAGCAAACTTAGCAAGAAGAATGTATTTGTTACAGCTGTATTTATTACCAGTCATGAGATTATATTAGGGTGACAATTTTCAGCTAGAGATTTTATGCCTGTTTTTGAGTGCAAAGATGGGTAGATAGATTTGAAAAACAGTAACAAGAACTCTTCTTTGTTTTTGATTAGATCCTTCAGATGATGAAGCTCTTGAAAAAACAAATGAAAACAAGACAGCAACCTGTCAAGATTCAAATTCCAAACCTGCTGTGAAAAAGAAAAGAAAGCAGGTTTGTAAATTAAACAATTGTTTAGCACAACAATGATAACGCATAGGGAAATATAATGTGGGTTTTTTTTCAGTAAAGGGACAGTTTTCTTCACTCTCTCTGATCTGTTCAGGTTTGGTTTTTTTTGGTTTTTTTTTTTTTTTAATTATGTTGCTGTATTGGAAGTGATCACATTCTAATACATTTCATTAACTTCACACTTGTTTTTTGTGAGCTGAGATTGCCAGGCCTGTCCTACAAAGTGACTGTCCAGTGGTACAAGCCTGGTACCACTGGATGGTGTCCAGTGGATGGTGCCACTGAGTATCCTCCCCTGCAATTTTTTTTTCCCTTTCCCTGCACACACAAAGTCTGGAAAGCTGTATTTACTTGTTATACAGATTATCTACCCAAGCATGTCCCCACTTCAAGGTCCAAATGAAAAAGAATTTAGGTCTTCATGGATTGATGTTTTCTTACCCTTGCACTGCTGAAACCTTCATTTAATGCCAAGAGGAACTGTGTTGTTCAGCATTATATGGAGTATGCCAAGGAACATCAGCATCACCCCAGTTTGAGGGAAAAAGTCATCTAGAGGTTGGCTGATTTTATGAAGCTTCTTCTTTGAAGGTAAATTTGTTCTGCCTTCCTCATACCACCCAGGAGGATTGACTGAGTGGCTGTCAGAGAGCTAAAATTACATTGGAAGCTATCTCTCCTTGAGGTTATGGATATTAATTTTGACCCCTAGGTCAATAGTAAATTCACTCTGTAATGCCTAGGCAACTGCCCAAGTGAAAGCCATTTGCAGGGATGTTCTTTTTTTGTAACAGAGAAGTGTAAACATGGTAGCAATTACTGTGCTTTTGGATGTCTTTCCAAAGAGAACAAAGGTGAAGCGATCCATGTATGTGAATGAGATCAATGTTTTGATTAGGAAAGAAAACCAAATACAGGAGAAAGCTGTATTGCCTTTGTACATGCTCCACCAGGGAGTCAGATGCTGAGGAGTGAGAATTCTTGTGGAGCCACCTTTTATCACCATTTTCACTTAGGCATTTAGGAGCAGGTTAAGACACTTTGTTTGGGAGGATTGCTTGACCCATTTTATGAGAACATTAGAAAGGATAGCAACACAAGTTACATACCAAGGTAGCCTGGGACTGCTCGCCTCTAGTAGAACACCTGCCACTGGTCTTTCTGCCATATAAAGAATATCAGCCTGCATGTTGGAAGCAGATAGTTTGGTGTTTAGATGTGAAACTGCAAGAGGGAAATGCTTTATGGGAGCTCAAAGTCATCGATGGTTTATTGCCCATCTTTTAGACATACCAAATCAGAGTTGTTTATGGAAAGTTGGTGGTTTTGTAGTTCTGGTGCAAGTAACAAAACCCATTTTACTCATGCCTGCCTTATTCAGAGGCTGGAAGTTGTTCTGCAATGGATTTGGCACCTCAAAGCTGTCACGAGACAACACAAGAGAGTTATGAGCATCCATGCTCCTAGGCTGCAGGCTGTCCTCAGGCTTCCAGTGAAATGAGCAATCTGTCTCCAGTCTAAGTGACGCAGTGATGTGTTTACTTTGTCACAAACTCCAAAAGCCAGAGTATGTGGCTGACCTGGAATGTAAACTTTCACACACATGCAAGACTGTTTTCACTCTACATTTGAATTTCCCGTCAGTTTGGCAACATGTAAAGAAAAAAGCATGTTAGAAACATAATACAGGAAATATTTTATGCTCTGTGGATGATTAACAAACAAGGAATTTATGACATTTTAGTTCATAAATCACTGGTCTCGGCACAAATTTCTTGTTTTCTGCATTTTAAGAATTTCCATGTAAAAATAGCATAAAAACACAGAGCACGAGGGAGCCATGTCAAAAAAAACCAGTGGTTGTCTGCTTTGTGTCTTGCATAAGAAAAGCATGCAAATGACCTTTTCTTAAGGGTGGCATGCAAAGAGCTATTGCATGAGTAGGTAGGCAACTAATGCTTGGATAAGGGTCAGAAGTTCAGGATAGATCAGATGCTGAAATATTTTAGAATGCAGATCATCAAAGACGTGTAAGTTTGCAGCCATTCACCACCAGAAAATTTCTCTTTTTATGTCACTATTTTTAATGTCTGAATAACATGGATTTACTATTACCGGGCTAATAATATACTATGCCTAAATATATATGCAGTGTAAAGGAAGCAATTTTGAGTTTTAACATGCTTCTCTAAGGAAGCAAGGCTTTGACTACAAGCCTACTGTATGCTTGTGTTGCCTGCTATATGTTCCTGTGGCTGTTGAAAGAAAGGGATACATACTGCCTTCAAAAAAGAAGCCATGGCATTTGGTGGTGCTTTTGAGCATTTGAATGAAGGCTTAGCAGTGAGAAGTTTTTTTCTTTCAGAGAAATTTTTTCAGCTGTGTGACACATTTCATTCTTTTGTCATACAGATACCAGCTGGGAGTGTTTGCAGAGTTATGTAAAGCAGTTCATGATGTATAAGAAGGGAGAAGTGGGCCCAAAATGAGTGACATTTTTCAGTATGCTGGAAGCACCACTGGGATGGGGAACCATCATACTCTACTGGAGGACAGAGTTTCAGATTGGCCCTTCTCTGACTTTTTGCTTGCTTGTAGGTAGCCCTTGACTGAAGCAATGCAAATGTTTGTTCTCTGCATAAAATATGATGTTGAACATAAAATTTATGATTAAAACACCTGGCTAATGGCCTTTAAGTATCTATGGACAGCTGGGATGTGTAAGAGTAGAGCAGAGGGTAGCTCTGTTTCAGTCTCAATGTCTGGGAATGCTAATGGTAGGGATAGCAATGAAGAAACGTAGGGTCGTGTTTTAAAAACACTAGAATCAGAGTCAGGACAGAGATTTTTAAAATAGCAGCAAACCAAAAATAGAGCAAACAAACTTGTATTAACTCTGGAACAATTTTGTTAATTAAAGTGAGTTTCCACTTGCAGTCATTCCCTTCATTTCTAGTGAAGATAATCTCTGTTTATACCTGAGAAAATCACAGGGACAGATTTCTGTTGTTGAGGTAAGATATAATCCCTACCACAACTTTTCAAAGGTTTTGCTGCAGGCTGCATTACATTCCAGTAGCTGTAGAGTGCTTTGCTAGCTGTAGCAAGTCCCCAGCCCAACCTTCTCTGGTAATGCCTATGTTTCATTTCAATCCTCAACCAGTTTCAGAGCCACTGCTGTACAATACTACTGCCTTTGCAAGGGCAGTGGCTGGGGCTGCATCACAGCACAGAAAGTAAGAGGCTATTTATTTGTGTTGAGCATGGTGCTTACCTGTTTTAATAGCTAATTTAGCAAGGGGAGTGGGGAAGAAAAGAGAAATGTAGGCATAATATGAACAATTAAACCTCAAGAAATGCTTCTGATAAGGCTGTGAGAGTGGGCTTGGAAAGGCAGGAGTGTGCTGGGTTGGGTCATTTAGCACGAGTTGCCATGAAGTGTCCTCCTGTTAAGGTGGGGCAGTGCAAGGAGGTCTCAGAAAGGCCCAGACACTGAACTCCTGTTAGCTTTCCTTTTTCCCTCTTGGCCTGACTGAAGCTGCCTTCCCAAGGAAACAGCAGACCAGCTTCTCTGGCTTTCAGCTAGGCTCCCTTTCCTGCTGATACTTTTCTTTCAGGCTTTCCCCAGGGAGGGGTGCTGGATTTGCTGTTCCTGGGCTTTTTAATGTTCCATGTGATGAGTCTTCTCCACATTTTCTCACAAGAGCAGAGTTTTGCAGCCAAATGCATCATAGTGGCGTGGAGCATTTTCCTGCAGCTCAGACTATTTTCCCATTGCTCTTTATCAAGTCACTTACTAAGTTCCAAAGCCTGTCTGTGTAGATAAATGTGCACTTCCATTAGGTAGAAGGCCCTAAGAAGGCAAAAGAAAAGAGAATTGCTACACTCAAGACAAGAGAAATCTGCGCCTTGCTTCCTCTGTTCTGGACAATTTTAGGTGGCTACAGTCAAATCCTAGCCCTGGATTATGTGAACAGGGACTCTGGTACAAATGGACCAATTCAGCCTGTTCACTCAGGCACAAAAGAGGGTTAATGATAGCAGCACATGTTGAATTATTCTGAAATGCACCATGTATTTTTCTTGTGTATATTTGACCCTGCCTGCTATGAGAAGTGAAAGCAAGAATGGGGTAGGACAAATTTGAAACATGTTTTCCTACATTCTGCATTACAAGTGTAGAAGCAACTTCAGAACATGATTGTTTCTAATTAATCTTGCCCAGTTCCATGTTATTTTTACTGTCTGGATGCTCACCTTAGACCCAGTTACTTTGGAGTACTACTGGCAATGTTTGGAAAAATCATGATTTACAATATTAGAGATTAAATATATAAATTTACTGGTAGATTTTGTTCATATTTTCCTCCTGGTTTTTTTAATGTATCAAAACCTACTTTTCACCATTTTATGGAGCTATGACTACACCCTGAATGATTCAATTTTCTTTTCTTTGATTCCCTCTCTTGGTTGCAACAGCAATCTCAATTCCAAAATTACTTTATATACATATAACTGTAAGGATTTGATTCCGTCTGTATCTCCTCTTACCTCCTTTGCCTTCCTTTGGTGACTTTTTTTCTTACCTCTTTTTTTTTTTAATGTGTTTTGCAGCCTACAGAGTGTTTTTTAAGTCAGCCTGAAGAAAAGCGAGAGAGCACTGTAAAGGCAAAGAGGAGGAAGAAGGTATGAGTGTCCTAAGTGTGTTTGAGGTCTGGGCAGTGCGTTTATAGGCTACTACAGAATGGGGACAACGTTGTGATGATGAGAAGTAATATGGTCATAATATTGCAGCCTCTTTTAGAGAAGAAGAGAAATTGCTAATTTTTAAACCTTACTCGAGATACCTATTCCCAGCCTGACCTGTGGCATTATGTCTGTATTCCACTCAAGGGTTATGTATGTCTACACCCCACTTGCACGTGTTGCCCACCAGGAAAAGGAAAGGGTGACTGTGTGGAAGAAAGGTGGAACTTCAGTTGCTGCAGAATCTGACCCATTCCCACAGTGTGGTCAGGCTCCAGCTGCTGTTACATCTTTTGAGCCAGCACTGTCCTTGTTCACTCGTCTTCTCCTCATAGCATAAGTATATAAATAAATGCTCTGTATTGTCCCTTGGCCATGCTCCATCCTCACCCACAACAACAAACACACCCTGCAGTCTAAATGGAGATTATCTGGCACCAGGCAAGTTAATTGTCTTTCTGTAGGGGGACAGACTGTAAATAGTTGGCTCCCTCACAAGGCTGAGGGGTGGCCTTTTTATGTTATGTTAGCCCTCTTAATCATCCAGGGAATGGGAAGAGTGGGATTTTGCTTTCAGCGTAGCTCTGGCAGTCAGTGCAGGACTCACTCCGCTGCAGCCAGAGTGAAGGCATGCCATGGCACAGGCTGGCAAACCCACCTAGCAAGAAACCCCAGTTCTCAGGCAAACAGCAGCTGCTTGCTTACACCTTTACTTACAGTGGGCCACTAAGCTGACATACACAACCTGTCGAAAAATCCCATTAGGAAACATTTATTATGTTGATCTGTGGCTTCCAAACAAAGTGCTGTCTCCAAAAGTAAGGAAAAGGGGGGAAAGCCTTTTGTTTTTAAGCATCTGGAATGGATTTGAAGAAAAATAAAACTTCCTGCATGAGGAACATTTCCCCACAGCACTCCTTGAAGGAAGAGAGTTTGCTCAGGTGTCCTTGCTCTTGCTCTTAAAGAATTTCCCGTTGTATCAGAGTTCTCCCCTCCAGAGAGCAATAATTTTTCTGAAGGAACCAAGTGGCACAATGGCGTAACAGTCCTGTGAATTATGCCGAATTACCAAGTAAAATGAGCCTGGTCGATCTGTCTTGCTGTCTGCTAAATCAGAGTTTCCCAAATGTGGGTCATTTCAGAGGCAGCTTGTGAGGCAGGGCTGGGGAAAAGCATCTGGGGCTGTTGGGAAGAACAATGGAGAGGTTTGGTTGTGGGTTTCACAGAGAGGCTGGCTGTGCTCCCGCAGCCTTTGGTCATGCTTTGGGAAGACACTTGTTCCATGGCAGGAAAATACAACAGTGCTAAGTGAAGGGGAATGTTGGAAAGGAATGCTGCAGATTGAAGCACTGCAGAAAGCTGCACAATAGCCAGACATCCTCTGCAAAGTCTTCCAGGGACTGCAGAGGGCTTTGCACCAGGCCAAAGCTAGACTGAGAAGAAGGCAAAAACACTTCATCTCTATGTCTCCCACTGTCAAAGGTTCAGCTGGGGTCTTGCAAACCCACAGGTGGCCTTTAGCAGGGGTGAAACAGGCAGTGCCAAAGTGGCAAGGGCTGGGAGAGGCAGCACTTGCCTTGCCTTTGCTGTTTTGGCAGCTCCCAGATGGCTCTTCCCTGTTCAGCATTCTGCCCCTCAATATTGGAGTGATTGATATTGGAGTATTTGGGCTGTACTGGGCAAGAGGGACAGACAGGGTGATGGGGAATGGAAGAGAGGAGGGAGTGGGTGCTGAGATGGAGTGAGGGAAAGAATGGATGGAAGAAGGTCAGTTCCCGACATAAAAATTCCTGCCATGCCTCTCTTCAAAATTTCCATTGATCTTTGCTGTCCTGAACCTCAGCCTACCAAGCTGAAGGTACCCACTGTCCCTCCAAAGCTGCCAGAAACTCTTGCAGATCCACCTCATCTCTGTGAAATCCCACTTTCCCTCAAAAATACTGGCCCTTTTGCTCCATCCTGACCACACCCTTCTGCTCTTTTTCACTTCTAGACTTATGCTACCGTGTGTCCCCTTGATGATGAGTTCAGTTTAGCTTACACAGCTGAGAAACCTTGAGCTATCCTTTCAAAAACTAGACAAATCTCAACGAGAGCTAGAGAGGCATGACATTCTTGTCATTCTATCCAGACTGCCTCTATCCTTGCAAATTTGCTGTTTTCTTAAATACTTAACATTTCTTTTCTTAAGTGCTGGCAGATCAGTCAATGGGAACCTTGGGCTATGCTACCCATATGTTCCATTTTAATTATGGCAAAAAATACAACAATCCCTTCACTTCAGTAAGAATTCAGACCTGTTACTCAGTAACATTCCTAAGGTGTAGAACACAGTCATTATGAACTTGTGTTCAGTCTCTAAAAATTAGGAGTTAAAAAAAAAATTACAGTGTGGGAGAACAAAGCTGTGAATTCTTGCTGCTTGACCTGTGGTTCTGTTGTTTTAACTTATTTTCATGATCCTGGTATTCTGTGAATATAGCTAACTATCTTCCATTCCAAATATAGATAGATAGTTACCATGTTTAAATCAAAATATAACCACATCACTTGGTTCCTGTTGTTATGCCTTAAGAATAATAAGCTGAAATAAAATTATGAAAAAAAAAGCCTGAATTTTCAAACTGATACTAAAGTGTAGCAATAGCAAAACTCAAAAAGCTTTCAGTTATGTTTTTGTTACAGCAGCTATTCAGGTGAGTGCACAAGATTTTTCAGGTTCAAGCTCTCAAACCATCTTGTCCAAGTATCTCAGCTTGCATCTGAAGTCTGCATTTCCTCTAAAGACAAAGGGAATCTTGTCCCATTGTAAGGTGTTTTCCCAATTAAGCCATAATTAAACTGATATAAGTGTATAAAATATGGAAGAACATTTATGTACAGTGTTAGCTAGCCAATGAGCTATGTAGAAGTACCATATTAATCAATTTTACTTGGATTTTTTAGAAGAAGATTTCTGATGTTCTGCAAAAATCTGCTCCAAAACCTGGTGTCCCTGCAGATCTACAAAATCTGCTTACTCAACATTTTGGTGAAAACCGTTCTGTGATTGAAATAGAGGAATTAAAGCTGTCAGGTAACTTCTCCTGTACTTAATATATAAATAATGTTTTTTTCATTGTACCATTGACTTCTTTTTCTGCAGAGGAAAGAAGATTTTTGGGACATAATTGAGTTGTACTTTTTAATGAAAATATTTTCTTATATTTCTTTTTTACTATATATTAATTTGCTGCTTAAGTTGAAATGTTTAGTTTCTTTGGAATGAATGTGAGGTTTCTTAGAGGAATGGAAATGAAACATTGTTTAAATAACTCTTTTTATTATAAAGTATTAATTCCTGGAGTTCACTTTTCTAATAATAATTTTATGATTCCTAATAGTAGCTCCGCAGATGCTATGAGAGATGTATTTTGTTCCTGGGATTATCTGAGTCAATAAGGGGGTGACAGAAATAGACAAGAAATAAGGAGGCATCATTATCATATGGGTATGAGATTTTGAATGCAGTGGTTTTTCAGGGAGTGGCATGAATTGAGGTGATAATTTTGGTCCATGTGTTAAGTGACCAAGTTTTAGCCATGGGGACCCTTTTTGTTCACTGTATCCTGCCTCCAGTTAAAAACCAAATAGAAAAGGCAAAAAACAGGACAGAGCAGACTTAGCTTCTGCCACTTGGAGGTTGCACTGGAGATGATGGCAGCGTTGAACTTCTCTGCCTCTCCTGTGCAGACAGAGACACAGTCCATTATTTGTTGGTAGGGCTCATGAAGAGCAGCAGTCTGGTAACCAACCTGCACTCACCTTTGGGACTTCTTGAACTGTCAGTGACCTATACCCAGGGCAAAGGCCTTCTAGTCCAGCAGTGCTTTTTCTTTATTAATGCATAAGCCTGTCTCTCTAGGTAAATGTGCTCTTCCTTAATCCCCATGATTCTAGGTGGACCCTTCTTCATTTCTGTGGGGCAGGCTCTGCTTTGTTAGTGGATCAAGAAAACCTGGAGAAGTCCCATATAGATTTCTTTGAAAAGTTTGTGTTAAGTATTTTTTTGTATATAAGGTTTTTAGGAAATAAGAAATTGTTTTGGTTACCTTCTTATTAAGAGCGCCCTTTGGGCTACTGAAGTGACCCATTTCCATATGTGTTGGATGGAGATATTTTTTCCTTATTTTTTTTTGTGGGAGTTTAAGGCTTAAGAGTGCCAAGGAGTTTAAGAACTTGTCCAGCTGTCAGCATGGTCTCTTGCTGCAGTCTGGAGCTGTGTGTTTCTTCCCCCCTTTCTGAAATTTCTATTTAAAACTGTTGTAAATACCGCAGTCTTGCTGGACTGTTGGTGAGGAGTCAGTGACTGAAGCTGTGTCCTTCAGAAAGGACCTCTTGAACTGTCAGCCATTAGTGAGATCATGTATTCAGAAGATCAGCCCCTGCCTGTCCCCACCAGCATCAAGTGCATCTTTTAAACACAATTTTAAAAGTAAATCAGCTGCTGATCCTTCAGTTGAACATATTCATTTCCTTTGAAGCTCAATGTCAGTCTCGGAATTTAATAGGAATCTGTGCAAATAAAAGTTTTCAGCAAGACAGGATTTCAGCCAGGCATTGGCTACAAACCAAGTTTGTCACACTGCCTGTTCTGATGAAGATCTTGGATTGGTGCTCTCAGCATGAGCACAGTATACCATCCATGTGAACATGAATAATGTCTTCAAACAAACCTGCTTAGTTTAGAAAATGTATCAGCAAACACCCATGGATACCCTGAGGGGCTGTGCTTCATACAAGATGGTGACAAATATGTAAGTCTTTAAAGACAGAAGAATTGTTAATGCTCTGCAGAACCATATTGTTCCGTCAGGCAAACAGCCCTTAACACAGTGGCAGGTTTTCAGACCATGGAATTTTAATCATCTTTTTAAGAACTTTGATTTTCTGATAGGCGTGAGAAAGGACCTTCCAAAGAACCTGTTGGGATCTTCACTGCCATTATAAGAAGTTAAATGGCATGTCTGCCACAGAGTGCTGTAAAAAACTTCCCAGTTAACATAGTGACCAGAGAAAAGGAAGTCAGCAGGAAATGGAGGAAGAGAAAGGCACTGAAAATGCAGTGGAGGTATTTCTGTTAGGATTGATATATTTAGGTAGATTACCACAATATGAAAGACCAGAAGGTGAACAAACTCACTGACAAGTAAATTATTGGTAGATTCCTGCATTTACACAGTATGAATTATTTGGGGGATGTACAAACATATTTCATCATAGGTACGTGGTACATTGGAGGAACAGTCTAGGAGTGTAAGGCTTTTGGCTGAGGCTTTGATTCATTGTGGCCAAGACATGAAAACTTTATTTAAAGCATGTGATCACACCTGTACAGTAGCCCAGGATTCAAGGTTTCAGGCTGGGAGAAAAAAAAGAAACTGCAATTCAGAGATGTTACCTTCCTTGATTTAACCCATACAAAGTTTCTTCTAGGTTAATTTTTGTTTCAGAAATGGTAATTTATTGATGATGGATTTATGAAGTTGGGATTTCATCAACATAACTAGTGATTATGCTGCAAACATATGTTCTCCATTTGCTGTTAAAATACATCAACAAAAATATTTTTTCCTTTATGTTTTCAGATTCCTGCTTTCTGCCAGCCAATGATCTTACCCACAGTTTTTCTTCATACCTGAAGGAAAGTGAGTTTAAATGTTGGTCTGGGTGAGATGAAAGTTGTATGAAAAATATTATTAATACAGTATTACTGCATTTGTTATATGTAGCTCCAAGTATTGTTTATTATGAAATATTAATCACTTTAAGGTTTTAATTTTTTTTTTTAAATGACTGGTCTTGTTTTTCTGGCTCTTATTTAGTTTATAGCTTTTATTTTTTTGGTATCAAAAATGTTCTAGGCTTTCTTATAATTGCTAGGGATTATTTATCAGTAATTTATTGTGGCGTCATGAGTAGGTGTATTTATTATCTTAGAATGAAAGTCCTGCAGCTGTCTGCTGACATGAACCAAGTGAATTTTTATTCTCTTGTATATTTATATAGAAGTTCTGGTCTGGTAAATGTTTCTTTGCAAATTATTTTCTCTGATACAAATTGCCATATGTGGCAAATGAAGACAATAGACTCATCACCTTAAAAACTGTTAATTGTTAACGCTTATCTAGTTTGTTCAGTTTTGTAATATTTCTATATTTTATTTATTTTGGGCATTCCATTTTCCAGCTTCTCAGCCATGACTAAATGCAAAAGTGATGTCAAAGTTCCAGACCTCAAAGGAGTCAGCATGTGTGTTCTTGCTGCTGGCTACCATTCATCATGTACTCTAGTAATTTAAAATTTGGCATGCGGTGCTTGGTGTGGGTACAAGGGCTTTTCCATTGCAGTCTGCCCGAAGTGGGCGAAGCTCCGCAGGAACCACAAGGAGGAGAAGTCGGTGGTGATGCTGGTTCTGTGCAGCTCTGCCCTGCGCTCCTTGGAACTCATCAAGTATGTCAACAGCAAAGACTCTGTTGAGGTTGGCAGTCGGTCAGGAGTTTTGTCTTGGAACCACAGGCAAAAAGGCAAAACTGGGACACTGTTCTGTGCTAGCCAGCAAATTCTCTGACTCAAACTGATGCAATATCCCTTCCTTCTTTAAACTCTGGGAACGTGGTGTTTGGTTTTGGACTGAAGTAATGCTCAGTACTTCAGTTGCCTGGGAAGGGTTACTTTTGTCAAAAACCAAAAGTAAAGCGTAACCAATGTAGGAGAAACATGTTATACTTGGGAACAGAGTAAGCCCATAAAGCATCATGATCCACCACGAGAAGTCATAGCTTTGCACCAAAGGCAGCGAGGACATGGCATTTCAGGGCCTCAGATGCCAAGGTGTGTCTGGCCTGAGTGCCTCCAGGTCTCTGTCAGTGTTCTCAGCTGGCTCAGGCTGGCAAAACTGCTGGGCAGAGATGACAATTTTCAGTGTGCCCTGTCCCTGTATTTTCCCCTTCTCTATCCTCCCACTTTTAATCCAGAAGTTTTGATGACTCTGATGAATTGATGGATACCTCACAAATTTCATGGTTGTCTTCTGTGTATTGACCCTACTTCCTGTTATTATGTCAGTACAAAATGAGATGGAGATTTGGGAAGTTTGATTCCATGATACAGATATAAGAATAGATAAAGCAGATAAGTGCCAGTCATGCATGCAGAGACTAGCATCTGAGACTTAGATGGTTTAGATGTAGATAAACCTTTAGCTTTGCAAATTAAAAATTTGTTGCCCTGCAAGAAGCAGTTTTAAATTATGTTCAGCAAATACGGAATATGTTGTCTCCTGTTTGATGACTATGGAACGCAGAGTTGTTACTGTGTGCCAAAATGGAGTGTCAGAAAAACAAGTTAAGGTTTCTAACAAATTAGTTTGTTTAATTGGAATTTGGATAATGTCTGCAGTAGAGACAGTGGCAGCCTAGGTTTTCCCAACAGCCATGCTGCAGAAAGACTGTGAAATGTAGATTTGTCCGTACACAGATCCTTCCTTTAGTGCACACACACTCATACTCATTAATGCTTTAGTTATCTCAGTAACTGAATTATTTTTTAATTAGGATTTGGTGATTAACCAGTTTTGAACTAGGCTAGCTGTGAAAGCACAGGCCATAATATTAAATATTATCTGAAAAGCTATCTAAGCAATATTGCCCCCTACTGATATCTTCTACTGTGTCTGTCCAGTTGTTGGTCTCTGTTGATGAGTAGCAAACAAGAATGTACACAATGTTCAGAGTACAACCAGAGTTCACTGGGGGACTGTGTGTCTCTCAAACATATTGAGAAATGCCAGTTGGTTTTCCTTTCCTCATGTGTGGTCTTAAGCCCAGCCCTGCTTCTTGTATTTCATTGTTCATTTTTTTATTATTATTATTAGGTCAATGACAGCCTTTAAAGGAGATTGCAGAGTCATCAAGTTGTTTGCAAAGCACATAAAGGTAGGGAATGTTAATAGAGCAAATAAACAGCTAAGTAGTGTGACACAATTTTCTTTTTAAATCCTTTGGCAGTAGGGCCTTTCATACAGTGTTCATATGAAGTTCCTTCCTTTAGGTAGTGCTTGCTTTGGTAATCCATTGCTGCAGTGTGAAGAATTTCAGTAAGCACCATCTCCAGGAGCTCTGGTGTAGCCCTGTGCAGAATGTAGATGCTTGTGCACCTGCTGAGTTTCACTCTTCCACATTCCCATCAAGTGCTCATTCAGTGCCAGAACACTCACACTTGCAGTGTGTGGAAGCCAACTCTATCAGCACCCACACTTGGATTCTGAAAATTGAATGCCTGGGTCTCCAGTATCCATACCTGTTAAAAAGAACAAATTATGGAGGTGTTGGGAATAATGAGTGGACACTTGGCATTTGATATAAATGCTGTCAGACACGCAAATGTGTCTTTTTCCAGTATCTTCATCTTGAAGGACTTCAGAGTTAATTCAAGTTTTTCAGGATTCCAGAGCATTTGTTTAAATGCTGAAGGAATCTTGCTATTCTCACCTCCAAAAATACTTGGTGCAATAGCAGATTTTTAAAGTTAAAAAAGATTGAACTTCTAAAGAAGTGTGATGCCCAGCTGGCTTGTTATATTTCCTAAACTTTCTTCCAGATATAATCGTCTGACAGTTTGAAAGGCAAAATCGTTTGTTACTTAATGGTGTTCTAGAAAGAAATACAATGAGATCTTGCATTTATTTCCAACTCCTTGAGAAGAAATTTTAAAAACGATTATGGTTTTACTGTTGATTTTTCTTTCTCTCTTCAAATTAGATAAAGGAGCAAATGAATATGTTAGAGAAAGGCATGTTCCACATCGGGGTTGGAACTCCTGGGAGAGTAAAGGCACTAGTGGAGCAAGGTAGGAGAACAAGGAGGGTTTCCTCCCTAGGTATTTTATATTTGGTCTCATGAGAAGTGAAACTTCAACTGTTTTTTTTAGGTTGACATGAACGTGTAGATTTGGGTACTAAACTGTATGGTTCTATTTCTTCACTTGTGCTATGTCAGTCAAAACAAGGTCAAGGTTCTGGTACTTTGTTCTATGATCACTTGAGGCTGGCATAAGCCAGTATTAGCAGAGAAAGGCAGAGTAATGCTTCCTCTTACCTGCCAGCCAGTGCTTAATCCCTCTTCCTGCTCCCTGTGCAAGCCCAAGAGTCTGTTTGGCAGCTCAGTGAAATGACCCCAATTAAACCAAAACCAGTGTGCACACAAAATCAGGTAATGAGCAGGCAGAGGTGGGGGACTTCCTCTTTGGCAGGAATACTGATTTATGCTGACTTGAAAGTGATTGCAAAACCATAATGTGAGATTTAAAGCTCCAGGAAACCAAACACTGCAAGTGGATCAAAAAGAAATAGTGGCAGAAGTCACTGTATCATATGCTACTGTGAGCTTACTGTAAACTTTTATGAGGGTGTATGAAAGATCTGCTTGCTGATTTGATTGTATTTCTCATTTGCCTGTAGTAAAATTGATTATTCTCTATAAATCTTTTCCCAATTGTTGAGTATTTTCACTCACTCAATATGCAGTATGTACACAAAGAAAAAGAAACAACAAAATGACAAGATGATAAGGCAAATCTTTCTATTCCTCTTATGCAAGACACTGTCTTGCTCTAACTGTGGTCGCTTGGTCAGGGACTGGCGGTGGTTTGGGACTCTACTGCTCCTTCCAAAAGAGTGCAGGAGTAACATCATTTTGTTGCTTCCACCAACATTAAATGTTAGCTCCCAGCACATCAGCACATTGCCATGAGAGTCGTGAGGCACTGGAACAGGTTGCCCCGAGAATCTGTGGATGCCCCACCCCTGGAAGTGTTAAATTTTATCCCAAGCTCTAGTTCTTTTTTGATAGTTTAGTGTTGCAGTGCAAAGTCACTTAGAGAACAGAGAGGAATCAAATCTGATAGGAAAAAATGGTGAGCATCATGTAGAAGACTAGGGAAAAAATACAGGAGAATGGCTGAAAAGCAAGTTCAGAAAGGACCTTTTTTTTTCACCGCCATATATTTGAAGGATAAAGCAATTCTTCAGCAGCACCACTGACCTGACTCATGTTCACATAGCACCCTGTCCTGTAAATTGGTGAACACTGTCTGTTCCTGTTAACATCAATTTTCAGGTTAGGGTTCTTGTAACTTACCAGTGACATCAGCTGTGGAAATTCAACTCCTGTGGTTTCATCAAGAGGAAGCTTGAGGAATTACTTTCTGGCAGGATGTTAAGCTCTTGACAAGTCTGGCAACAGGAGTTCCTCTGCTTTTGTGTTTATCTTCCAAAAAGGCATGAGATTATGTGGCCAAGGGAGTTTGTAGTGTGAATGCATTCGTTTTCCAACCAGCAGTTGGAAAAGTGTTCAAAGATTAGTTTTTGCAAACAGACAACAAAAGATATAAAAGCCAAAATCATTTCGATAAGCATGTGCCACGTTATCTTGGTAGTGAAATTTATGTTGCCTTTTTAGATGCCCTGTGCTTAAACGCCACAAAATACATGATTTTGGATTGGAACTGGAGAGATCAGAAACTAAGGAGAATGATGGACATCCCTGAGGTATTGTATAAGCACCTGTATATGTTCTGTTCTGTGTCTTAAAAGTACTTTTGCTGGCAGTTCTCAGGTCTTGCCAGTAATGTTTTCTTTCTGTAAAGCTGTCTTCAGTGGTAAAGGAACAAAAAGAAGTTCACATTGACTGAGAAGTCTGTGTTCTTGGGTCTCAAAATTATCTTCTGAAAAAGAATTTTTCCTTGATTGTTGCAAGTCACAGCTGTGACTTCTATAGTAGTCCTGTGAGTTTCCCCTGTTAATGCTGGATGGATATTCCACCTGTCCCCCGGAAGTTCCCTCAGTAGGACTTGTACAGAGTCCTAGACCTCGACAAATGAGAGAGATGGGCATCACCAACTGTGTGAAATTGAGCAAAGGGAAGTGCAGGATTCTGCACCTGGCATGGGGCAATCCTGATGAATGAGATGCTGGAAAGCAACACCATGGAAAGGGACCTGGGGGTCCTGGTCGATGGAAAGTTGAAGCTGAGCCAGCAGTGCCCTGGAGCCAGGAGTGCCAACCCTGTCCTGGGGCTTCAGGCCCAGCATCACAGCCGGGCAGGGGAGGGGATTGTCCCCTCTGCTCTGAGCTGGGGCGGCCTCACCTGGAGTATTGTGTATAGTTCAGGTCACAGCAGAAGAAGGGTGTAAAGCTGTAAGAGAGCGTCCCAAGAAGGGCAGTGAGGATGGAGAAGGGCCTTGAGGGGAGCCATGTGAGGAGCGGCTGTTGGGCTGCTCAGCCTGGAGGAGACTGAGAACAGACCCCATTGCGGTTACAGCGTCCTTGTGAGGGGGAGAGGAGGGGCAGGCACTGATCTCTGCTCTGGTGACAGTGACAGGACCCAAGGAATGGCCTGAAGTTGTGTCAGGGGACGGTTAGGTTGGATATCAGGAAAAGATTCTTCCCCAGAGGGTGTTTGGGCCCTGGAACAGGCTCCCCAGGGAAGTGGTCACAGCACCAAGCCTGACAGAGTTCAGGAAGTGTTTGAACAATGCTCTCAGGCACAGGGTGTGACTCTTGGGGTGTCCTGTGCAGGGCCAGGATTTGGACTTGATCCTTGTGGGTCCCTTCCAACTCAGCATATTCTGTGATTCAGTGAAAACTTTCCTCAAAAACTAAACAAAACTATGACCAAACATACATGTTTCTCCACCTGAGAGCAAGATAACATCATATGAGTAACTCTACAGACAATTCTCTTGGTTTTTTCTTTTCTTTCTTGTATTTTTTTTCTGTTTATTTTGACAAGACGTAGGGTACAAATAACTTAGACCCATCTATCATTTCTACACTTCCTCTAAACTAATTCCCAATTCTTTCCAGTTCTGTAATCCAGCTTTTATATTTCTTGCTGGAACAAGCTGTGTTTACAGTATGTTGTGGGGCATCACCTATTTCTAGCCAGCTAAAGAGGGAGTTTCCTCCATTAGTGCTTGTTAGAAAGCTCCCAATTTCCTGCACAGTGTCTTGAGGTTTTGTGCATTTATAGTAAGCCCATACATGGAAGGAATCTCCAGGGAAAAGGCCTTCTTTTGCATATAGACAAGCTGTTTCACAAGTGAAACAAATTATCAGTCATTAATCCATCTATGTACTTGTCTAAGTATTTGAATGTGCTGCATTTTACAACCCCACATACACAAAACAAACTAACAAAAAATACATTGAAGAAATGAAGTAGCAAAAAAAAAAAAAACAAAAAAACCACCTGCCTTTGCTTTTTTGGTGGCAAAGAGGCTCCCTCTTGTGGTTAATACATAAGGCTTGTTTAGTATGGTTTTAAAAAACAGAAAACATGAGATCACAGACAGTCGAGTACAAAATCACAGGCAGTACAAAAGTTGTCGATGGCAGTGGGATGGATTTTTTTAAGTAATCTGAAGTCAGTATCAATAAAGTAGACCGCAGGTGCTCCACCTCCAAAAAATGAAGATTATGTTGCCAGTATTTCATTTTGGGCTATTGTGAATCTCAAGTACACCTTTCAGCTCACTGTAGGTAGCATCATGGCAGTTCTGTGTGTCTGTTGAGGCCAAAAGTTGTGACTCCAAGTCTATTTTATTAAGGCAAAATCCTAAGACTATTTTAGCATAAAAAGTTAAAGCTTAGTTCAATCCAGCTAAGTAAGATTATTGGACCATCATATATTGTGTTAGGATAAGCAATAGATATTTATGTGTGATTACAGAATAGTGAATATGTAATTACAGAAAAGTCTTCCAACTGCTCTTGACTCAGGTAACACATCATAAAGGAAGGTTTTTGACATCTTGGTCTTTATAGGTGGAGTATTTTGCAGGTATTTATTCCACTGCAGACATCAGGCAGATTCCTTGAAGTTATGTGTAAGGGATGTCCACAGGAAAAGACACCCAAATAATGTTCCGGTGATAAGGCATCTTAACACCACATATAAACCAATGGGATGTTCTAGTAACTTGTGGGCTTCAAATATGGAATACAGTCCTAGTCAGCTTTTCTAATTGTATAGAAAAATGTCAAATACATGCTATGAATAGTTTAAGTTTTCTCAGAGAGAGGAAATACAGTACCAAAGACAGTTTAGAGACTTGGCTGTATGATGTACTAATTTCTTTCACCTGTGTTAGTTATGGAGGGAAAATTGTACACTTAAAATGAGAAACTCAGCATACTGGCCTATATTCAGTGCAAACCTTAATTATCAATATTTTTTTTTGCATATTTAAGGTGCAACATTGCTAAATTTCATTGTGTTTAAACCAGAAAGCAAGAACAGTTGGAAGCACATGTCCATTGTATTTGCTGTTTTTGTAGTCACCTGATGTTCAGTGAGAATTCTACACATAGAATTATATTTATATGCTAATTAGATTAGATTAGATTAGATTAGATATGGATTTAAAAGCACATGGCAATTCTGTATGCCATCATATCCACACAAAGAGTGGTGCCCTAATCCACTGCTCTGTCAGCTGCCTCAGCATCTCATTAGTTAATGCTGCTGGAATTTCCATTCTCTATTTCTGTGTCTCCCACTTCATTCATCCCAAACAATGGATAGAAAGCTCCCAAAGAAACCACAGGAGGAGTGAATGAGTTTATCACACTTTGTCTTGGCATACTGGAATTGAAGTAAAGCACAAAGGTGTAAATAGAAATGGATTGTATAATTTTAGGTCTGACCAAAGGATAAGCTTCCTGCTTTGAAAGATTTTTGTACAGAGTTGATGGCAATACAGAGCTCTCTCAACTCCTCAAGTTACTTGTTCCTAAGATTCAAGTGAAATTTTTTTCACCAAAACCCAATATCTGCAAACAATACACACACCAGCCTTCAGTAAATTTGAAAATATGCTAAGTTTAGGTTTCAGATGTCATGAAAATAAAATACTTGTGAGAAATGGACTTGTGATAGAAAGACAACTGTGTTCACCATTGTGTAGCACATCTAGTCTGAAACTGAGGCTGGCTGGGCTTTCTGGAATACTTTGTGCCTCTGCAAAGTGGAGGCACAAAAGAATATAATCCTGAGAGAAAACCTGCAACACGTGATTTGTAAGTGGTAAGAGGGAGCTGTAAGGAAACTCTGGACTAACTTTGATGATAAAGAATCTTGTGTTCCCTCTGAAATAGTCAATATTTACTCTGTAATATATTTGTTTTATCTTTAGATAAGCCATGAGCTACAGCCCTATCAGAGTCATAAACCAAAGTACTTTGTACGCAGCACAGGCAGAGCTGATCTTCCTGCTCACTTTCATTCAGGTGTCCCAGACACGGACAGAGCTGTGCCTGCTGCACTGCCCTTGATCTGCTTTATGCCAGTTCTCACTCTGGAAAGTCCTGTAGGGATTCTGCAGCCCAGGATGGGCCTTTTGCTGTGGTGTGCTTTACCAACTCTGCCAATGACAACCTTTCTGTAGCCATGTGAAATGGGACTTCAGGGCTGCAGGGCAAAGGATGGGTATTTTAAAAACTGGAAATATACTAGAGGACCTTCTAGCAATCTCTTCTTTAATTTCTAGTCCTGTAGTTAGGTGCCTCAGTAAATAAATAAAGGTATCACTATCAGTAACTTCTTATGCTTTGATTTTTGTTTTCTTCAGATAAAGAAAGAAACAATTGACCTACTTGAGAAGAGTATTATAAAGCTGTGCAGAGATGGATCTGTGAAGCTGGGACTCTTTTAGTGAGTTTGCCAACAAGGAAGTAATTTGCAGTTGCCTTTTGCTATTATCCTGCTTGCAACTGAATTTTGACTTTTCAGAGGTCTCAATACAGAAGGCACATTGCAACATTTTTTGAGTTTTCTTTTAATAAGAACCCAGAAGTTTTGTTTTTAGTTCTAGTATTATTTTTATTGCAGGAATAATGTCATACTGAAATCAGAGTTACACCACTTTCACCTGCTAGATGTACTACTACGTGTCACTGGTAAGACGTTGAAGATGAGCAAATATGGGTGTGAAAGTCTTTGCACAGCTCAGTTTTCTGTTCCCTCTTTGTGCTATCCCAAATGAGACATGTATTTGTCTCATGAGAGTGGTAATCTACTTGCCCTTGGGGGTCTTTGAAAAAGTATGAATTTCAGTAACATGTTAAAAAGGTATTTTTCACCTATCTGTTCTAGAGCTGGGCAAATGCTGCTTTTTGCTCTTACATGATATTCTCTGTATATTATACTGAGATCTTATTTTGGTTAAACTGTTGAAGTGTGCAAAAAGTATTCTTACATTTGTCCATTTAAATTAAAATGAGGTGATCTCTGCGTGATTCTTTTGTCATTGTGGGTAGCAGGGAATTAATGGATTCTCTTTCAGAGAACAAGATGAACTGAGATGAGGAAGTCATCAGTAGCTTGGAAAGCCATTGATCCAAACTGGATATTTTAAAAATTAGTTGTCCTTCTATGATAAAGAACACACAACTTTTTTTACAGCCTTTAATTGCATCTCAGTCCATAGCAATGAATGTAATAGCTTAAGAAAATTGGTTTGGTCTTCCAAAGCCATGTTCTCTGTCCAGTGCTGTCTCAGCATCTGCAGTCCTCCCCAGTGGAATCCAGTGCAACTGGATTAGGACTCCTTTCTTTGTATGCCATGCCTGTTAGCTGAGCTATGGAAGTAAATGGAGAAGAAATAATGCATCTGAATTACACAGAAATTCCAGTATAGGTGACAGTATCCCTGCAAATTAGTAAGTCATAATGAATCCTAATGAGCTGTGAGGCAGGAAAAATATATCTAAGCTTTTCCAGGAGGAATGAACTGAACACCCTGATCAAAGTACACAATCACTTGATTGGTGCAAGCTGATAATGGAGATCAAGGCACAAATACATAAAACAAGGAAGAGAGAGATCTAGTTAATAAGTAATTCCTCACCATAATGCAAGTTTGAACAACAAATACTGTCTCCCAACAATAAAGACAATATCTCAGCTGAAACACTCTCCAGCACAAGGATATTACTCCTTTCTCTCACCGAGAAGAAAATGAAAAACAAGACAAATGTTCTTCCCAGAGAAGGAGAAGCCCAACCTTCCAGGTGTCCAGATAACACTGCATTCAAACAGCAGAGGCTGCCCGCTTGGAAGCCCCAGCTGACCATTGCATCTGTGCTCTCCAGCTTCTTTCTGACAGGGGCATTCTGCCTCACTGTGGGAGTCTGCCTTGTCCTGTCTGCAAACAGTGTCAGAGAAATACAGGTTGGTTTGGGAGTGGTGTTCTTTGATATTCTGTAAAGTAGAAACCAGGCCAGGTTTGGAGAGAAAAGACTTTGAGTTGTGCTTCTGAATAAAGATGATGGCTATGGCTTCATGCCTTGGACATGTATCCAGCAGCTGGTATTCTTGTGAAAATCTTCAGAGGCAGTCAGTCGTCACTAAAATCAGAGCACTGGGTGATTAACTGGGTGGGAATATCTGAAATACGGGTAATAATTACTGCCACTGGCTGCTAATATCAAAATATTGTCATTATCTTCTGGGGTTTTGAAGGGAAATGAGCAAATCCCTCAGAGAGTGTTTAATACTATAAGAATATATATATTTTTTGGGGCAAAATCTTGAAATACAGGGAGCCCTAATGTTTAAATCCCTCCTACAGAAAAGGAGGTTATTCAGACCTGTGGTGTTATGAATAGACTCCTGTTTGGAGCCAGCACTCAGCACTACACCCAGGCTGTTCAGCACAGTGGGCTATGATGCATGTGGGGATTTTTCAAGCATTACTTGGTCAGCCAGCCCAAGGAGCAAGAGTGTTCTTCACTCAGCACTCCTTTGCCAAGGAGCAGTTGTGAAAGTTCTGCAACCGTCTTCAAAAGACTTTAAACCAGCATTAAACTAGGGATAAATTTTGTGTTGTTCATTGAGGCCAAGTCATCACTCTTCATTTTCAACGATGTTTTTTGGCAGTCCAGGGTCACTTAGAAGAGAACAGCTCTGAGAAGCCTTGGACCTAAAACGCTAATCTTTTCTTATGAGTATGTCCTTTATGATAATATATTTGCTTGTTCACTTCTCTGACAGATAGATTATTCAGATAAATGTTCAGATTGTTCAAAGCTCCGTGAAAATTCCTCTAATTGGAATAAGGAATGCCACTGTTCTGTCAATTTCACGTTAAAGGAAAATATATTGGTAAGTGGGTGCAAAAAACCAACTCAGATCACTGTGTACCACCTGTTACTTATATCCCTAAGTGATAAAAGACAGTAATTCTGTCCTGTAGAGCTCCTGACTAAATTTGCTTTCTACTTTTTCAGAACATATAATATTCAAAATTTTACACGTTTTACTTTGTTGTTAATTTTGGTATTTATAACCAAGACCTGGCTCCTTGTTTGGGAGATGTCCAAAAAGAAGAAGGGGTGGAGGAAATGGTGTTTGATTGTGGAGGTGACCTCTCTCTGTCTGTCTCTGAGTCAGAGGCAGAGCTTTGCCTTTGGCCTGGGGTTGGTTGGTGCTACCCAGCTAAGCTCTCAAGTGAGAAGGAAACCTGAAGCTCTGACCACTTTACAGAAGTAGACCCCTGTAGTCATTTTTACAAGGGTTGTGCTGCTAATTCCCAAGGTCCTTGAAATAATTCAAGTCTATCAATGTGGTTCTGAAGTTTCTTTTGGAAAAAGTATCCCTCGTTTCCTTCCTTAAACTACCATGTTTTGTTGCTGAGACTGTTAAAAGGCTTCATGTTCTGCCAAAGAGATCTTATACTTAGTACTGAATAAATGATCCCTTGAAATGATAGAATTATTCAGTATTGAGGAGGCTGTTAAAATACTTTGTAATTCTTCAGATTACAGTGATGTTTGAGATGAGAAGTTAGTTTAACTGAGTAATGGGTTTTTTATAGTTGTATAATTACCTTTCATGCATGATTGGCCCTCCTAGCATTCTCCTTTTAATGTGAAGGTTTTTGTGCACCTTCTATTATGGAAAATGAGTGTTTGTCTCTACGATATGATTCATAGTCATTGCAAGTTCATAGCTAGGTATGCCATCTTGAGTAAAATAATTATCAGGCATTTTTATTTCAGATTTTGTTTGTTGATTTACATTATGTTTAATTTTGTGCCAAAACATAGAAACTTGCAGTTCGGGTAAAGATTAGATTCTAGCCTGTGACTGCTGTATTGCTTAGGGTGTAGTTACAGACATTTTGATATGAGTACTCTCTTCACCTCTTTTTTAGCAAGCAATAGGATTTCTCATTGCCTTCATGAACTCTTTTTATTGAAGGGATTTATCCTTGGATTCTAGGGTGATGTTTTTATGTACTATGGTCTGCAAAACTTCTATCAGAACCACCGTAGATACGTGATATCAAGAAGTGACGCACAACTTTTGGGCCGAAATGTGAATGTAAGTTTTCTTTTTCTGTTGTGAAATCAGCAGCATTTCCAGCAGGTATGCCTTTGACCATATGGAGAGCCAACTAGGCAGAGCTGTAAGTGTGTTTAGGTGGCTCTAAGGAATAATAAAGTACAGATTTTCAGTGTTTGGTCCCGGCTTTTATGCTTGCTGGGGCCATAATGTCTAATAAGTTAATAAGAGAGGAAGGTTGAAAGCGGGGCGGAGGGGGTGGTAAATAAAAGATGTCAGTCCTGTGTTGCAGTTCTCAAACCAGTACCTTGTAATGCTGATTAAAAATACATTGTCTTTTTGAAATAAATATTGTCAGTCTTCTTAGCCAGAAGTGTTTTAAGCTGTGCTCTTATAGGGCCGGAGAATTAAGTTATTCTAAGTCTTTAGTTTGCCATCTGGCTATGGAAGCGGGCAAGGAGCAGGATAAGGTTAGTTCTGAAATAAGTGATCATGTATGCAGTTCTAAGCATGCAATTTAGAAGTCTAAAGAGGGAGTAGACAGCATCACCTGCAGCAGACCTGCATAAAGAAACTGGAGAATGCAATCATGGCATTCTCGGGGCATTCCGGTTCTTTTACTTACAAACCTAAAGCATATTTTCTTTGGCATAAAAGTAGTATTTAATAATATACACATAGTCCACATGTCCTTTCAGTATATATGGTGGTTGTGCCGTGGTGATCTGTTTCTATGAAATGCTTCTTAAAATTCTCAAGACATGTTCCTCATTTTTATAAAATGCTTCTTAAAACTCTCCAGGTGTCCTGTCAGCTTGTTTGTTTGCATCCAGATGCAGCTGCTTTTGGCTTTTATGCCAATCAGATACACAGCTCATTAAAGTTACTTGAAAATATTTCTGTATTGAAACCTGAAGATTTATACTTTCTTATAAAATGGGGTAGGAAAGATGCGATAAAGCTGAGAGTGGACTTCTGTTTTTTATTCTGTATCTTCATACATCAAGATTTGCCCTTTTTGACCTGCAGTAATGTGGCCAACTACATCTGCTGTTCTCCAGCACTAATTCAGCCCAGGTCAGAATTAAAAAGAAGGTAAAACAAGATGTTCTAGGGTAAGCCAAGGCTTCACTGGAACATTTTCAGTTGTAGCCATTTTACAGCAGCAGATCCCCAAACCTGTTTTTAGTAGTCTGGAGCTCGCAAGTCGGCAGCTGAATTTGGTGAACTCCTTCTGTACCTAGATATGGAAGGTGTTCCTTAACTACAGACATGTTCATTTGATGTCTCTAATGTGACCAAAAGGTACTGGAGACTTAATTGTTAGTGTCTTTTCAGAAGAAGGCATGGGAGGACACCATTTAAAACCAAGCCCTGGGTCTGTGCCTGACTGCTGTGTGCCCTTGAATGCAGATCCAGAGGAGCTACTGCGCGCCCTTCAGCACCTACAGGAACGGGACCCCGATGGCGCCGTGCGGGGCCATCGCCAACAGCATCTTCAATGGTGCGTGGGGCCTTCCTCTGCCCTTGCTGATTCCCTCTTGAAACCATGCCTCACCCCTGGCCAGGGCAGACCTGCTATTGCAAGGTCTCTCGTTTCTCACACAAAAGGCTTTGTTTGGTGGTGTTGCTCTGGTGAACATCAGACTCTGCTTCGTACTGTTTAGTAACTTGGCCCTTGTTTGGAAACTGAGGGAGATTTCTCATTTTCTAAGGCCCTCTTCCATGTCAGCATACAGCAGGAGTGAGGAATTTAGACCCTCTTGAAATAAGGAACAAGGATACAACAGATTTCTTGTACTTCCTTGTTAAAAAGCACATTTTTGTGCAGTGTTTGATTTTTGTACACTGATGGGAGAGCCCAGATTCTGGCTTCCCACAATCATGTGCTTAGAAGGAGGGACCTCCACATTCTCCACATTACTTTGTATCTTTGGATCTACATGGTTTCATTTTTATTCTTAGAATGCTGGAAGTATACATAGTCTTAATTTGAACCTGGATTTGATCTTTATAGTAATCTAGTGATCATAATCGGTTTATGAATACACTTGGGAGATTTCAGAATGTATCTTTGGAAAGAAAAGCAACAAAAAAACTGTACAGACTTTTCTCCACTACACCATCTTTTTTTGTCTTCCAATTTCTACCACTCCCTGCTCTCACCCTTTTTTTTACCTGCTCCACACAGCAGGTTTTGAGAAGGCAGCAGCTCTTTCCAAGCAACTGTGCCGCCCACACCAGGGGATTTGTGAAGCCAGTTCATTGACTAACTTCTAGATCCACTTGATTTTTGTCTGCCTTACCCACCTGCTGCCTTGGAAGTGGGATTTACTGGGCTGGGCTCAGACCTAGGCCAGCAGAGCCCAGCTGTGGGCAGCCCAGCTGTTCTGGAGCATGGGAGGGAGAGTCAAAATGAGCAACTGGGCAGGCAGAGCTTAGAGCATTGCAACTCCTGTTAATGAAGTGGTGACAACTGAGGGTGTGGTGGACCACAGAATGATCATTTCCCTGAAGAGTGTGTCTCAGCTTTAAGGAGCTGCGTGAACACAGTTTATGCAGCTGAGTTGTGCTTTTCATGTCTCCTAAAAGACAACCCCTGCCCATCTGTATCATCTGATTGTTGCTGCCCATCATCCCATTGGCTGCCTAGGGATTTCCAGAGCTCTTAATAAGACCTGTCATGTTTTTGTCTTATGTTAAACTAATCTATGTAGGAAAATAGTAATGGCTAAAACCAAGTGCTGTTCACCCAATGAAACTGGGAGGCATGGTAAAACACAATTTTAACTAAATGTTTTTTGATTGAAGAAAGTGTTTGTGTCCAAGTTGGTAAGCAAGCTCTAACTGGCATAGAACTAAAGGAATTTTTTTTTTTTCCAAAGGATTGGATTCCCTTGACTATCCTTTTACCTCTACCCTAATCCCTGAAAACATATATTGTATAGCAAAGTTTTGGAACAACTGTCAAAGAAATTATAGGGGTAACTAGCTAGGACAGTTACTTCTGTAACTAGCTAGAGAGCTCTGAAAGTGGTTTGCAAAGAAGGTAATCCCACAAGAGTTGATGGACATGAGAAGCATGCCCAACATGCACAGGGATTGGTAGGAAATGTTCAGTCTTTAAAACTTCAGAAGTTCTAAGATTCTGGTCCTTAGTTCTTCTTGTGAAATGTGCAGTGCTCCATACACATCCAGGATGTTCAGGTTTTCTATCCACTTGAAAGATGCTTCAATGTGCCTTTTTTTGTTAGTCATGTTGGCAATTAGAACAACTGTCTTCGACTCACAAGTGTTGCTTATTGTATTCCTTGCAGATACTATTAATCTGTTTTACAATCATAACTCATCTGTGATTCAAGTGCCACTGCTGAAGACTGGAAACAGTTGGTGGACAGATAAAAATGTGAAATTTCGCAATCCTGAGTCATACAATCTCTCTTCTGCATTTGCAGGTAAGAATGGTTCTGCTGGTGGTCCTTATTTTTCAATGACTTCCCTGTCTCCCCCTTCACGTGTCTCCCATTCTGAGAAAAATCACCTTTGGGAGAAATATCTCCCAAAACAAGTTGAAGAAGCAGGGTTTAGAGGGTGACTGAGAGCAGAAGGCACATTTAGCTAAAATATCACCTTTTTACTTTTTTAATCAGTGACCATAGAAATTGAGAGAAAATGGTTTTGGAAGACTGAAGTTAGCCCACATCAGTACCCTTTATAGTTTCTTGTAATGCTTCATCTGCCCAGAGAAAACGAGGAAGCAGTTGCTTTCTTTTTTTTTTTTTTTTTTTCCTGTGGAAAACATCTGTGAAGCAGAATTGCATGTCCCACCTTTCTTTCATGCCTTTGCAGATTCTCGGGCAGTTGTGAGGCATGAGAGGCTGCCTTTGTCACTAGTTCTTTCAGACTTGTTTCCAAGGGCTGTTTCCTTGTTCTGGTTGATCTCTATTGAACTGGAGCTAAAAGCTGACTGTTGTGGATCAGGGCAGTGCTGAGCTGGGTGGAATATTCAAGAGCTAATGATCTAAGCTGTTTTCATGGGACAGATTCTAAATGTCATAGGCGGTGCCAATAGACTGCAAAAAGGTGCCTTTTTGGTTGTACAGGAATATATTAATGTGTAAAAATGAGGGCAAGCTCCTCATTATTGAGAACATATTGCTTGCTGAAGAGACAAGAATACAGAATAAACAGTATTTTCACTTGTGCAAGTCACTTTGTTTTTCCTGTGTTTGAAGGTTCTAATGTGTAGCAGCCCCTGAGTACTGTTAAACTGTTAATTCATGTTTGAGGTGAGTGGACATGCTTGGAGATGCTGTTATTTGGCATATATAGAATTTTGGACAGTGTCTTACATCTCTTCCACAGCTCATATTCTTGTTGGTTGCGTAAGGCCCAGAATCTCAGCAACCACTGCTTTTACTGACAGTGTCTTTCCTGCGTTGTCTCTTTGTGAGCAGGGACAGCCAGACCTCCTTACTGGCAGAAACCAGTGTATCTGTTAGACGAGGAAGACGAGAGGAACAATGGTTACTTGAACGACGACTTCATTATCTGGATGCGCGTGTCGGCCTTCGCGACCTTCAGGAACCTCTACCGGCGCGTCAGACGGGTTCGGCACTTCACAGAGGGCCTGCCAGCAGGGAACTACACCTTCCACATCTCCTACAGTATCCTTTCAGATTCCCTAAGGCTCCTAGAGAGCTACAGTGACATGGAAGTGAATAGGATTTGTGTGGTCAGCTGACAAAAAGCCGTGCAGAACATGTTCCCTGTGTCAGCAGAGCCCCCAAGGGATTTGGGTCACATCCTGACTGACAGGAGCCCCCTCACAGCCAACAGGGGAACTCTGCTGACTAAAGCACTCCTTTTGTCAGCAGGAGTTACATCAACATGACCATAAATTTCTCTTCTTTCTTAGCTGATAGAAATGTGGTTTTAAATGTTCTGTCATGGTTCTATTCTGAAAGCTTCCATGGGAGAGATGAAAGGTAAACTCATATAACAATCTGGCTAGAACATATTAGGTTGAGCTGAGCACTTACTTCACTATGTGGAGTATCATGATAAGCTTCCCAAAAGACTAATTTTCAACTGAGCTTTCATAGCAAATTGATGCAGTAGCAGTCCTATAAATTATGAATCTGAAATTTACAGTGTTTTAAAAAAGGGAGTATTTCCACATGCACAGGAAGACTGTATCTAAAATAACTGGGTTTCTTACCACCAGCTGCCTACCACCTTCCAGAAACCAGCTGGGGTTTTGGATCTGGAATAGCAGAAACATCACCAATCAGTTAAAGGAGTTTTGGCAGCAAATGCAGACCTCAAAACTCTTTATGCTTTGGAAAGCTTTTTGAGCATTTAACAACTACTTTGTCTTCTTCTGGAAATAATATACATTTTGTTGGTGAAATCTTAACATCCTTCTCTCAGATTTCCCTGTTACCAGATTCAAGGGGAGGAAGCATGTGATTCTTTCAACCGTGGTGTGGAGCGGTGGAAGTAACCCATTCCTGGGAATTGCCTACCTGGTTTCTGGCACAGCAGCAACCCTGACAGGTTTTGTCATAACTGGCATCCACCTAAAGCTCAGGAAAAAGAAAACATACTTTCAGAGGCGGTAAGGTTCACATGACTTTCTGAACAAAGCTGGAAATGTGCAGTGAACAAAAAGGTGCAGCACAGACCTTTCACTCTTTCCCCTGAGTTCTGGACCATTTTCAGTGTCAGGTTTGGTGAATGTAAGCAAACTGAGAGGCAGGACTATTCCATCCTCTGAAACCAAATTTACCTGAGGTGCCGTTCTCATTAATGTACATGTGAGCCTAAATTTGTTTTCTAGGAAAGTTGTACTGAGATGAACTTCAAACAGCAGATAGCAGAGCAGATTAAAATTGCAATGGCAAAGAAGTTATGTGATACCAATGTCTGGCCAGAAGTCAGGGTCCATGTTCATTTCTTACTCAGCCCACAATTCAGACAACATTTCTCTTAACTGGAATGGGGTTTTGGATGGGTAAAAAGTGAGGTGTAGATCCAACAAAAAGCTTGAGTAGGTAGCACTTATTGCTAAAATCTGCTTGTGGGCCACGTACATGTGTTTAATGGCTTGGCTTGGGTTTTATATGCCTTTTTCAGCTATGCTGAAAAAGCAGCCAGTTCACATCAGTGCATTCACTCCAGTTTGACACCTGATTTGTGGTTGAATACAGGGCATTTATTAGGAATTCAGAGTTTGTTTAGACCAAATTTATCTAGCAGCTGAGAGCTGGAGGGCATCCAATCACTTATTTGCATTTTTTTCAATTACGGTTCAATAGAAATCCTAAATAAAAAGCTCCTTTAATGCAAATTATTTTAGCAGAACCATGTACCTAATTTAACTATTAGGCCAAAATTGCACTGTTACCTACCCTATGTGAAAGTTCACATGGTCTTATATGACACAGAATGGTAATTTATTGTCAATAAAAAACAAAGCACCAGAAAATCCATCCATTTAAAGTGAACATTGCAGCTCATGAATAGGGTCATCAATTTTTATGTTTCATGTTCAGAATTTTACACATTAAGGACTTATTTCTAGTTTCACAAAAAGAAGGAACAGCACTGAAGAATTTAGGTCAACCATACCATGGTAGGTGTGAATTTTTTTAAATGGTTTTTCTGTTGCAAAAGTGCAAGTGGAATAAAAACCACTTTCAATTACTTTCATAAGTATTTTGTGCCTTGCCTCTCTCCTAAAAAGCCTTCTCACTAGCAGAAGAAAGAAATCACACAGTGGAATAGGAGAAGGGGATGTGGCACAGGGAGGCTGCAAGCCACTGTCAGTGCATCTGCTTTTGGGGGTTGGGCATCTGGTGGCCTGTGACAGATGGCCCCTGCTGAAGGGGTTTGCAGCACAGAAGGTGCAGTTTTCCTTGGAGTTCTGCTTTGTAGCTGAGCCATGAGCAGCAGAAGGGGAGCTGCTCTAGTTCCCAGCCCAGCCTGGAGGACAGTCCTGCCCCACCAGTGCTTTGTGCTGACCAGGGAAGGTGCCTGGCCCCTCTGCTCTTCCTGCCCAGGGCCAGCCACCTCCTTCCTGAAGCTGTAGAAACAGGGGTCCTGAATTTCAGCCCTTGCACCTGGATCTGTCAGGAGCTGTGGAAGAACCGCACTCCTCACTGGGCTGGACAAGGCAGAGCATGAAGCAGGGCATGCATTATGCTTGAGGTCGTTAGTCTGAATCACTTTTAACAGAGGGACATGCCCTAAATCTTTACAGTCCTTTTGAAAATGTAATCCCATGCAGCTCTCTGGAAAGCCCTGATGGGATTTCCTGACAAAGCTGAACTTATTTCCTGGCTCCTATCAGACCATGGGATCTTCTTTATTTTTCTCTTTCTTTTTTATGTTTTTTTTTTTTAATTGTCTGAGAAAACTGACTTTCAAGAAATAATAGGGGTGGTTAGCTCACGATGCAATTGTCATTGATTTCATTTTTTGGTGAAGCATCTGGCAAAAGAGTTAGTAAAAGGAGACTGAATAATGAGGTATGTATTTCAATGAGTCAGTGTCTACCAGGAAAAAACACCTAGAAAACACAGCCCAGCAAGTAGTGTTTGCCTATTTCGTCCTAGAGGTTTTTGCAGCAACCTCTTCTCTTGAAATTTAGATTGCCTTCAAGCCCCTGTCTTCAAACAAGGCTTTCTGTTTTTCCAGAAGTTGTCCAAGTCTTTTGTTTATAAACCCAAAATCCCATTTTTCATCTTACTACAGCTTTAAACGTGCCTTACATCTTTCTGGTACCCTCTGACCAGTGTCCTTGGAAGCTGCTCCTTCAGCTCCAGCTGTTCCTGTTAGCTCTGAGAAGCTCTGCAGTGACTGCCTGGTTCAGGATGGTGCTGCCCAGACCAGAGCAACAGGAATGGCAGGTCTGATTAATTCCTCCCAGCAGACAGAATCTGCCTTGCTCAAAAGGGTGGAAAATCCTCTTTGGCTGCCTTTTGTGGCAGCGCTGCAGCCACGCCGTGGGTCTGCCCCGTGCCCGGGCTGGCACAATTGTACCTTCTCAAGAAAGTTTTGCAGGTGTGCTCCTCAGTGCCCACACTGGGAATGCTTCTCTATCTCCCTGAAATGGTTGTTGAATTTGTTTATGCTTCTGCTGCTGCCTTGTTCCTCTTCGTGCAGGGCTGGAACAGAAGTGAGAGGCTGAGCTGAAGGTTAGGCCCAGCCTAACCTAACAGAAAGATGGTAAAAGCCATCAGTAACTGCTCCTCATTGTGCCACGTCCCAGGTCTAATCTTCTGATATTTAAACATTAATATAAGTAGGAGTCCTTCATCCAGTTCATGTGCAATACTGTCATTACATGTGCAGAAAAATTGTTTCTTTTCCCAAGGTACCAGAGACAGCCTTGGTATGAACTACTGACTATGCAGAAGTTTCTGACAAAATTTATAGTCAAATTTAGTTTCAAATAGTTTAAAATTTATATCCCTTTTTAGATCAGAATTTGGTTACTGATCATGTGGTTTCAAAAAAGTGATAGTTCTGCATCTCCCCAAGTTGAGCCACACTGCATTTGATTACATTATTAACAATTGTTTTAATTCTTACCTAAGGAACAGACAACTCATAAAGATGACTGGCACTGGACTGACACCATGTGCAGTAGAATTCTTTAGTGCTCATTTCCCCACCTGTTTTAATTGTGTGCATTTCTTTGATGTTTAAAGAGACATTTGAAGTGCCTGGTAGAGCAACAGGAGTTTCTTCCAGCTTGCAACGAGACCTTGTTGAACTCCCACTACATTGACTCATAAAATAGTAATTAATTATGCCTGAGTTCTTTGTATGAGGCACTGCAGTGCTGGAATTCATATGGAGAAGAGGAAGAAGCACAAGCAGCATCAGCTTTACTCAGTAACTGGCAATAGCCATGTCTGGTTGAAGACTGCCCCAGCAGCCCCTCCAGCAGTGCAGAGGGATTGTGCTGACTGGGGACAGGACCTGCTGCCAGGAACCTCTTGGAGACTGGGCATTGCCAGACTGCAGATGAATTAGATACAAGGTATGTGTTAACTGCAAACATACTGAGTAATAGGTATGTACAATTTATTTAAAATACTTTTTAACATATAAAACCCCCTCACTATCTATACAGTCTAAGTCCTAGCAACATATACAAATACTGAGCAACTACAATACATGCTGAGGTAAGAACATACATTCTGGGAGAATACTCAAGCCAAACAAGATTGAAATACATTTTATACACGTCTTCACATACAAGAGAGACCCATGAAATGTACCTTTGCTTTATTGTACAGGGAAATTCTAATCTTAGTGTCATGCAATTTAAACCCAAACGTTACATGTTCAAATGTATCTTAGCCCTAGCAGAAAGCATGTCCAATGTCTGAAGCAAGAGCAAAGCCTGGGACCAAATTTCTTCCAAAAAGGGGCTTAAATTTTAAAAACTTCCATTTCTTTAACATGCTTTATGTTATGATAATGAAGTTGCACTATGTTTGCTAAAAAATAACCCACTGTGGAGAAATACAGCAGGTATTACAGTGGGAAATAGCTTAATTCTTACACCACCTTAGCCTTCAGTATCCACAGTTCTACCATTCCTGGTCTGCAGTAACAATTAAATCCAGGTGTGTTATTTATACTGACATCCGTTTATTTTTATGGTAGATTAATTTTTTTAAGCCTAAACTGGTACAGGTTGAGAACAGAGAGTATTCTTAAGTTGGCTATAGCTGTATTGTCACATCTTACTGGAAACTAACAACTTCCCACCCCTTGAAATAAAATCAGATCAGATACATATATTTTCAGTCACAGCTACTGCTGATAGCTAGGAATAGTCACTTATCTGTTTAAGCCAAACTACGACGATTGCAGACTAGTTTTGTCAGTCAGAAAAAGTTGCAGTAATCTAAAAGTACAATCATAGGCAGGAATTTGCTGTTCACAAATGGGTCTTATTTACCATCCTTACATTCACATTTAGGCTTAAGACACCAAGCTCTAAAACAAATAATTTAAAAATGTCATTCTCAGTGAATGAGAGTGAATGATCAGAAATTATAGAACTGGGCTTTAAGGTAGCACAGAGAATGTTCAGCATCTTTCTTGGTGCTAGGGACAGTGGGAATGAGCACATCCTCAGTGAGTTTGCCCACAGCACCAAGCTGTGAGGTGCCATCAGCATGCTGGAGGGAAGGGATGCCATTCAGAAGGACCTGGACAGGCCTGAGGGCTGGCACCTCCTGGAGCTGAACAAGGCATTGTCCTACACCTGGGTCAGGGCAATCCCAGGCTCACAGACAGGTTGGGCAGAGAAATGACTGAGAGGAGCCCTGCAGAGAAGGACTGGGGGGTGATGGTTGATGAAAAACTCAACATGAGCCAGCAGTTTGCTCTCACAGCCCAGAAAGCCAATGGGATCCTGGGCTGCATCAAAAGAAGCATGGGCAGAAGGGTAAGGGATTCTCCTCTGTTCAAGTGAGACCCTACCTGCAGTGCTGCATCCAGCTCTGGTGCCCCAATATAAGAAGGACATGGAACTCCTGGAGCAAGTCCAGAGGAGGCCACGAGGCTGTGGAGACAGGCTGGGATGGCTGGGGCTGTTTAGCCTGGAGAAGAGGAGGTTGTGTGGAAACCTCATTACAGCCTTCCAGTATCTGAAGGGACCCATAGGGAAGCTGGAGAGGGATTCCTTGTCAGGAACTGCAGTGACAGGACAAGGGGAAATGAGTGGAGACTTGAAAGAGGGGAAGTTTAGGTTAGCTAAAAGGAAGAAATTCTTTACTGTGAGGATGGTGAGACACTGGAACAGGTTGCTCAAAGAAATTACGGATACCTCATCCCTGGAAGTATTCAAGGCCAGGTTCAATGGAGCTCTGATCTAGTGGAAGGTGTCCCTGCCCATGGCAGGGGATTGGAAGGAGATGATCTTTAAGGTCCTTTCCAACTCCAGCCATTCTGTGATTCTATGTATAACCATATTTTAGATGCTGAACAGGCCACAAGTGATTTTTGACTGCGGAGTTTATATACAGCCCCTGTGCAAAGAGATTTTCAGGGCTAAGTGAGGATGATGTACTGGTGCTAAGGCATGGTGGCAGCCCCCTGAATGGAGCCCACTGCAGCTCCATTCAGATGTTGTCCACAGCATTTAAGGACCTGGGCAGTAAACAAGGCTTTGAATTGCATCACAAACAAACAGTAACCCCTGAAGTCCATAAAATGGGCTACTGTGTAGGGAGGGGATCCACATGTACAAATTGATTCAGCATCCTTCCAATAGTGCTGTTAGAATAAAAATACAGCATTTTTATAGAGGGGTTTTCTCCTACTTAGGTAAGAAAGCTGTGCTTTTTTTTTCTAACAAGATAAAAAATGGCAAATATGCCTTTCAGACTGTTTTCATTTTGTGATTACCTAGCTAAAATGAGTTTACATTACCCCAGTAAATGACTGGCTGCAATGTTTTCATAGTACAGAACACTGGAACATTCAAAGGATGGCAATTCCAATAAATAAGTCTGAAATGGACACTCTTTGGAATAGCACTGGTTCTTTTGCAAAGGTTTTGGAATCTTTCATGCTTCTAATAAGAACAATCATAAAAAAGCCCTAAGGCTAAATTTGGCAGTTGTGCTAAAACGTACCATATGTGCTAAATGCATGTCTAACACAAACTGTGCACCATTAGAATATCTGTGCTTCCTTAAGCACTCACAAAAGTATGTACAAACCTTTTTTTGTATAAGCTCAAACCTGAACCCAGGACACTCTGGGGGAGGACAGGGCAAGACCTTTCTCAATTCAAGTCACCTCCAAGACCTGAATGCTTCTTGCACTGAGCATCAGGGAAGTCTGACCTGGAGGCAGATGATATTCAAGTAGCCCTCACAAGCATAGGGAATAATGTAAAAGCAGTAGCCAGGTAGTTTGCTTGTGTCAGTCTGTGCCTCCTAGATCCCTAGGAAGGAATACGACTGAGTGGCTTAAGAAGAAGAGGCAGAAAAGAGATAATATAAAACAGCAGCTTCTAGTTTTGGAAGGCTAACCTAACCAAAAAGGCAGGAACCTTCTGAGGAACACACAGCTGAAAACTGCCAAATTCTGTTAACAAAAGCTGAACTAATGTAATTCAGAATCAGAACTATTTTATGCCATGAAACTAAAGGGATTTTTGCCATCAGTCCTGATAGCAGCTTGTTAAGTCCAAAGTTGTGCAGACATTTTACAATGAAAAGAAGAATTTTAGAAGCTGTAGTGCTTGCACAGAAATTAAAAGCTTTGGGTATTGACATGGGTTTTTTTTTTCCCCAAAAATAGTACCATTAGGAAGAAATAACTGGCTTTTGCACTTAAGCTGTTTCTCCCAATTTATCATTCACATCTATGAATTACTGGAGCTAATTGTGAAGAGTTCTTCTCTCATGTCTGACAGACAATTGTACAGTAGCAATAAAAAAAGTCCACGGTTTTGCAGGAGACAAGCTGTTAATTGTCACACACCTTAAGGAAAAGCAGAATTACTGTTTTCCCAGACCTTTTGGTTCAACGTTGTATTATTTAAGACTAACAACACCAAATCAATGGAATTAAGAAAGTGAAGCTGTGAGCTTTAAGGAACTGGCTTTTAGAAACAAGCCATCATTCTACCTTACTCATGAGCTAACTTTGTTCATCCTTACTCACAGTGGGATGGGCCACGCTCTGTGGCACCTGGTACACAAGTTGGTCAGCACTGCCCGGCCCCGGCTGCCCCTTTGGTATATCGTACAGCGCCTGTGCTGAGGATGCACTGTCTGTCCTGGATAACAGTTTATTGCACGTTCCAACCAGTGGAGGAGCTTGATTCCCTGCAGCTTTGAAGGTGGAAATGGAAGGAGCACCAAGAGGTGTGCTGGGATGGCTGGACATGTCCATGATTATGGGAGTTGCGTACTCGGGTCCGGTTACGGGCAGTGGCTCAGCGTAGGCGTGGTAAACTTCTTGGATGGGGGAGTTGTAAGGGTCCAAGTCAGCGTAACTGGCTTCTTTTCCTTCCTCTGGTTTGAAGGTTGACCTCTGGTGAAGCGTGCCCACAATTCCCCCTACTAGGGGCTGAGCATATTCTGTGTTACAGGCACCAACAAAACAAAACACAAACACACTTACTGGGTAGTTTTACAGCGGCATCACATTAAATACAACCTGTCAATAGTCTCCCAGAGATCACTATCCTACATCAAACCAGTGTTCCATCTCTGTCCACCACTGCACCGCCAAAGCTTTGGAAAAGGATTCCTTTCCACCCAATAGGTAAAGCCATTGAGACAGCCAAAACCAAAACATCCCCACTTCTCAGGTTTATGCTTCTTCCCAGGTGGGCTGCAACTTCCCATGCTGCAAATCTCCCTGAAAATGTAGCTGACTGAAATCTTCTTCTATTTACATTAGATTTAAATTAAATTATTCTGCCTGGATCTGGATGAAAAGTGGTCCATGGGGTAGAGAGTTTGCCCTTTGAGAGGGGAAGCCTGCATGTAGTCTGAGATGTTTTAGCTGAACAGATAATCCGAGTTACAAAAGCTGGAGGTAAAAAAAGCCTGACTATCTGGGTAAACACAGACAAGCAGCCAAACAAGAAAACTAATTCTGCCTGCAGTGAAGCTGTAATTCCTGCACATCTGCCCAATTCTGCCATCAGCAGGTAAGCGCAGAACCAAAGGCACAGTCAGTCACCCTCCTCCCACGCCTGGCTCACCATGGAAAGGGCATGTGCCACTATCCATAAACCCTCCTCTTCCAGGTCCCAAGTATGATTTAACCATATAAGTGAGGGTGGGGAATCAAATGCCACATTTCCAATTTGTGCATAAAAATACTATGATGAAATAATTTCCAGTGCATGAAAATATAACCAGAAGAATTCTTTCACCCTTCACGAGGTTTAAAAACAAAGAACCTTTCAGTTACTGCATTAACTTGGGCAAGTGTCTATCTATAGCACATGAAATGAGAGAACAGACACGAAGAAACCTGCATATTAAGAGATATGCCTACCCACAGAACTACTCATTTCTCCTCTGTACCCTCCAAAACCAGGAAATAACTAAATGTAGCCAAATTCTTTCCAAAAAGATTCCTGACATTTTTTGGGATATCATTCATATACATATATACATACATATATATAAAACATGGCCCACAAAGTACCTGCAGACTCTGTTTGCAACATTGTTGGGATTTCTCTTGCTCTTAGGTGACTGATTTCACTGCTGCTGTAGCGTACAGGAGTTTCTTCATGTTCTGCTGATTTGGTTGGGAAAAACTGCTTCATCCCTTTCCACCATCCTTCACATGGATTTAAAAAAAGCAAAATAAACCACCCAAGATTGCATATGTACTGTGTTTTAAGCTACTAAAATATTTTTCAGCACAGCTTGTATTTTGCTAAAGCAGGTAAAAGAATTAAATTATCACTCTTTTGAGTAACACCCTAAGATGTCAGAGCTGTGAGCTATCAGAAACAGACATTTAGCAAATGAAAGTGATTAGAAAGGTTCATTTTCCAAAGGGCAAAACATACTTAAGATTACCAGTGAGCAGACACTGGTGTGCAAGTTTTCAACAGAGGCCAGAGAAGTGAAGCACAGTCACACAGCAGTATCAACCCAAGTGCTGCAGCTGCCCTTTGAACATGGGGCACAGGTGGTTGGTTTCAGGATCATTGCAAAGAGCTGCCTGGTGCAATTGTCTGATCTTAAGTTTGTGAGGCACAGGACAGTTAGATGGAAGGAAGATATACCTAAATCCCACATGCTTACTAGGGCAATGAAAACAAAACTTTTGAGCCAACTTATACACTAAGATGAAAGGTTTTTTCCCAGGACAAAAAAGTACCAAATAAATGGCTATCAAATGTATAGAGACATTCCTTATAAATTATTTTTCCCCCTCATGTTATATAATTAAAAGGTTTTCTATTTTGTTCACAAAAAACCCTGAAGTGGTCAGATCTAATAGGAGACACGACATTTACTATTTCTGAAAAAAATAAATTGGAGAAAGAAGCAGTACAATTAAGTTGGTCCAAAAAAGAAATTCAGTTTGCTATGCCTCCCTCAGTTAGCATTAGAAAAGCTTCTAAATGAAAACTAATGAAAGCTAATGAAAACTGTAACTGCAATCTGAAATATACATTGAACAAAAAAACACTGAGCAAATGGTTTCATAAAATCATTTTGTTACCTGCACGATCCCAGTAAGGTAAATCATATGTACCCTCAGTTTTTTTCTTGCTGTGAAAAAAAAAAAAGAGAAGAGGGGTTATTTTAACTAGTCTGCTTATCAAAAGATGCACTAATCAATGCTCAGCAACTATCACCTTGGCTGTAACTGGATCTCAAATTTAATGTATAAGCACCAGTAACATGGCATGCCATCACCAGTCTGCCGCTAACAGAGAAACCAGTTTTCAGTCAAAGCGCTTCCAATGAAAACATCTACAAAATGCTGTTTTGTCCTCACAAGTCAAGTGAATTTTTTCTCAGAAAGAATGCAATTCTTTCCACAAGTGCAGACCACAGAGTTCCCACAGCAATACATGCAGCATTTCATTCCCACACACCAGGCTAACATTCATGTAAAGCACTTTCATCCATCTATTCATTTACCGGTTTCTCCAATGCCACGCACAAACTAAGATAAGAATCAGAGTAGTGAAGACCATCACCAGCACTGGAACCAGAACTGCTGCCAATGCCACATCTGAAAGCCATTAAATTAAGTGGTGTCAGACAGAAAGAGCTTCTCAAAAATCAGTTTTTGATTTGAAAATTACTTGGGTAGAGCACACAGTTTTCACATTTAGTGTCTATCACACCAGATCCCAGCTAAGCTACTCTGCTGGATGCTCCCACAGCACAAAATTCAATTAACATTTGGCTCTTCTACATGCATGCACAGCTGGTGGTTTTTGCAGGGGTTTTCATCAAAATCAACCAGTTTGTTTTAATATATGGTTTTCCTGTTACAACAATGTATTCTGTTATTTATGCAGAAAATCCCTTAGTGCCACCATGTAAGTTCAAACCTCGTTTAAGAAGTAAATTCCACAGTACCTTAACAGTTAATCCCAATCAGTCTGTGCTGGTTCTGTGTGTGATCCCGTCCCCTGCCATTCAAAGGACACTTCAGCAGTGCCCATATCTGCAGTGATTTTGCTCCCTTTTCTGACCATTGTCTTTGATAAACAAAATGATTATGCCAGGTGACATTTTTCAAATTTCATGTCAAAAAGACTGCTCCAGAAAAGATTTGATGTATCAAAGGTGTTTTGTTCTAAGAAAGTATTAAATAAATCAGTTCCCCCGGTTAAATCAGAAGGGAAATCCAAGTTCCAATTTCTCCTTCTGAAAAAGTTGGTTCAGTGATTAAAAGTTGAACACCATTTGAACAGGTTCTGGAAGATGGAACTATTATATATCTATAAAATATATATTGTATGTACGATTATATTACATATATTACTTGGCAGATTGGTTTTGATTCTTCATGCAGCATGCAACTGCACATCTTTTGTCATATATGTATATAATAACTGGTAAATATTAGAAATAAAATATTGATAATTTGCTGCAATTTGTTAAGTTTTGAGAAAATTTCAACGCAGAAAGCATATTTAATATATGCCAAAGCACTGTAAGGAGTTCCAAACATTTCTACTGTTTAATGGTGGATACCTTTGGTTACACTTGGAGTCACTGTAGTGTTTTTTATTTCAGGTGTGAAAGTTGTTTTATCTGTCTGCAGAGAAGTCTTCACTGAATGAATGAATTCATCCACAAAGTCAGCATTCTTCTCATCATTCTTGTTCCGAGGTGGTGCTGGAAAGGTGATTTTAGGAGCACGACCTTCAGAAGAAAAGAATGTATAAGGTAAGTTCTTTGAAGGGCTAGTTTTCCATATCTCCTTTTCAGGAGAAGACAGCTGGAACAGTTTGCTATAAAGCTTTTGTTCATGTTAAATAATGAAAATACACACACCCTCTCCCCTCGCGAATGAATGATATGGAAAGCAAGTGATTGGCATCTTTTGACACACTTATTTTGTAAATTCAGTATTTTCCAGGGTAAGTGTAATAAGTTTTGGATAACCTCAGAAATACCAGCTAAAGAAGGATTATGCGGCCAAGAAGTACTTCAGACTCACTGAAAATATACCCACGATGTAACTTTTAACCTTAGTAATTTCATTTACAACCTTAATAGTTTCACTTCTTATCTTGCACAGCTGAAAGTTTTCAGTTGTCTTACCTATACTAAACTGACATCCTAGCAATTCTACTTTCATTGCAATTTTCTGGTGCCATTTTACGGGGTTAATCCTAAAAAAACGTGCAATAATAGGTGGAATGAAATTATTGCGAACTTCCTGGTACAATTCAGTATTCCCTTGAAATATCTAGAAGAGGGAAAAAAAAAGAGAGAAACATTATGTTCTACAAATACAACAGCAACAGAGTAAGTACTACCAATTTTGATGTTTTAGTTAGGAAGAATAAACAGCAAGGGATTGAATTCACCCCAGAACAGTGCTGCTGCCTGCACTTGTCCACTCCCTTGGCCCCATTACATTTACAACTAAATAAAACAAAGAAATGTGTGTGCACATGTATGCACAGTTCAGAGTAAAGGTACATTGGGATATCCTCCTGATGCTCCCCAGGTACAGCTTGCTGTTACACATGTCTCACGTGTTCATGGCACAGAGTCATTCTAACTCCTTCTTGGTATTTTACACTTACTCTTCAAATATAGATGGATAGCAAGGAGCTGTGGCACTGTGCAAGCTGGAATTAAGGGGTGCCTTCACACAGCCCAGCAGTTCAGCACAGCCTGGCTGAGGATGGTATTCATTAGAAAGCACTGGAGGCACCCTCAAGTGTGTAACCAACCACACTGTCCTCTCGTGGCTGCAGCCTATAAGTGCTCAGCCACAAATAGGAGAATTTGGTTCAGAATGTGAAAGCTCTCTTCAGTCTCACACTGAGCCATGAGGTTCTGCAAGAGAAGGGTGCAGACTTTGTGTGGGGGATAAGCTCAAGCTGGTCCTTCACTGCCATCCTTGCACACACAACAAATGTGACAACACACAACGAGTCTGTCTCAAGTTTAAAAGCAGTGAGAGGAGTCCCTGTGAAATTCAGTGTAAGCACACTGACAGATTTACAGCCAACCATGGGTTTTTCACCCCCAAGCTGCTTAAAACAATACAGCAGCTTGGCCCAGTACTCCAACCTTCCCTCTCCTTCAGGAAGAGTGGTTTGGCACCATATCTTTTGGTAGGAAGTGAGCTGCCTCTCCATGCTAGTGCACAGCAGTGGGGCTTTGGCCCTGCACGTGCACGTGCACGTGGAAATCTGTGGTGCTGCTGCAACACAGGTCACCACTGGCATGACAGTAAATGACTTCTTTCTTTTGAAGCACTGATACAGACACTGCAAATCATGGTGGATGCAATGCAAAACAGAATTATGGCACATGCCTGAAAAAGTCAGTATTACAAGGAGTTTTCTTTGCACTCGCACTGCTTGGTAAGCAACAAAGCACATTCTTAAAGACAAGCACTGCATTGTGCAACAGCTGAATGTGTCTGCATAACATGGAGCAGTCAAGAGCTCTTAGCACATCTCTGATCAATACAAATCACTGCTGTTTCAATCCTGATACACAAGAGAAGAGATTTCTGTATTGCACTGCTGAGTTTTTGAACAAAATGTCTAGAATATCCCTAGAGGCCTGAAATAATTATTCTAGGAAACTATCAATTCCAAACAAATCCCTGCTCTGAATTTAAGCTTCTTGTTCTTAAATATATTCAGTAGCAACAAATGAAGACACAGTAAATGCAGGGGCAAGCCTATGATGTTATTTCGGAAATAAATTAATAACACCAAGTAGTTGAAGTTCATGTGCCCACAGCAGACTGGGTTCCAATTTACAGCCACTTTTCCCGAACTACTTTCTTTTTTTTTAATGACAGGTTTGTAGCTACAGATCTCACCAATTAATTTTTTGTGTTGGTAAGGATGCAAGTGAGAAGCCAAATAGAGAGGTGACTTCCTGAGGGGATGCACCCAGCCTGAATTGTTGCACTGTATCCTTGCTCATGCTGGGCCTGCCAGAGGCCAGCACCAAAAGAAGGCACATCTGGCTGCCCAAACAACACATGCAGATGTTACAGATGCCCAGCTCTGAAAGTTGAAGCTCATATCAGGTTTCTGAAGCTGAGCATGTAACAGAAAGGGCAAAAAGAATCAACACCAACTATTACCTTCAAGAAAGATTAACAGTAAAGATTTTTACTCCAGGCTTTTATCAGTCAAGCTTTTGATGTCGTGTTACAGAAGTAACTTAACTTTACCTGTAGCTCTGTATTTTCTGTTACCGTAAATTTTGCATTTAAAAAAATTTGCTTCTGAGCTCAATACAGCACTAACTTTTTAATGAGAAATCACTCTCATATTCTTTTTATTATCAAACTCTTTCCATTTTCCTCTGTGCTGTTAAACAAAGCTTTTCCAACACCACAACTCTCATTTGTCCTTTTCCCCCAATTCAAGCATTTACTCATTTTTTAATACATGATAAGCTAAAACTTTTTCTTGAGTACTGCCAAATCTCTAAAAGGTATTTGCAAAAAAGACTACAGGAAAATCTTGGAAAAGCCTCTAGTCTCCTGAAAAATGTTAGGAATTCCAAACATGTTTCAAAAAAACAGGGACTATCACCTCCCAGCTGGTCTGGCATGTTAAAAGGGAGAAGCCTGCAAGCAGATGCATCCAAAAGCAAATCTGTATCAAGTGAAGTGACGGCAGAGAGAGAGAAAATCTGCCATTTTGATGTAGAAAAACAGAACCATTTTTTTCTGTCATTTAACTACAGCTGCCAGCTCCTGGGTACATATGATTCTTCATGCCCTGTCCCTTATTGACACACAGAGCACAAAGAAAGATCTATTGCCTGTAATTTCAGACTCAACAATTTGTTTCATTTCATGAGCATGCAAGAGGAACAATGTGCTCAAATTCAAGGCAATAACTGAAAAGTTTTTTAAAGAAAATTGTCAAACCCGCACTGAAGCCTAAATCTAGGCAGCTTGATAACTGGGACCTTATTTTATGGCCAGAAGAGGGCACTCAAAACTAGCAAAATATGCTGGTTTTCCCCTTTTTTTCTTGAATACTTCACAACAACAGTCACTTTAGTTCACATGTAGGCTCAGACCCAACAGTAAATTCTCATTCTCTCTTCCAGGAGTTTCCTACTGCAATTATGTTCAGTGTTCAAAAATCTCTCAACAAACTTCAGCCTTTTACTTCAACAGGATGATACATACCCCCTTGAAACATGCTTAACCCAGAGTAAATACATGACCAAGGACAGCCAAAGTGACCATCCTTAAAACCTGTTTCTAAAAAACTACCAGACTAGTAGTTAGTTACATGTGCTTAATACCACAGGCCTATAGAACCAAGATAGAGTACATCCAAGGATTTTAAGAAAAAGAAGAAAAATATAGTTCCAGTCACATTACTAAGAATCTTGTCATTTCTTTAATAAAATCTGATCTGAGCCACTGGGAAGACATGAATTTTCTCATTTTTACTGTCTATTAAATATTGCAGAGTTATAAACATGGGGAAAATAAGATTATCTTGCTGCTAACATTAGGGCCTTTCCTGTGTGGCAAAACATTTGCAATCTGAACATACCCCTCCTTCTGCTAGGGGGGTTCTCTTATATAAGAAACTTAACAGTATTTAGTTAAAAACTAAGATTGACAGAAACATTAGAAAAAAATTATACAACCCATAATATTTATTCTGTAACCATAAGAGGATAAGAAAATAAAGCTTAATTTTAAAACATATAACTTATTTTAAAATAAATAGAATTTTTCTTGAAGAGATGCAGTACCAGAAAACGTACCACCAGCAACAGAAGTTTCTTGTATAGAATATTGTCTCCCCAAATAAATAATAAATCAACAAATAACAAAGAATAAAGAATAAAAATAACATCTGAAATTTAGAACTGTTCAAATCCTTACATATTTGCATATTACCATATTTTCTTCAGTTTATCAGCTGTTTACAATTCAAAATACGACTGACAATGAAAGTTATTTAATGATTTCTCACCATACCAAAATGACTTGTATTTACAACTGTGAAATCTCCTTAGAATATACCTAGAAAGCATGTGGTATTTTTACCTTATCTTTACCCATGCCAGGTTCTCTGTACACTGTCCACTTCTGTGCATCATCACTGTATAAAATTCTGTAGGCTGAGACATAATAGTAGTGCTCTGCTAAAGTTGATCCAGTAGTTATAATACCTGTGAAAATTGAGGCACCCAGTTAGGACAAAAAACTGGTACCACTTTGTAAAAATTAACAGATCAGTTCTTGAATCCAGAGAGTCTTAACTGGTCCAGTTGACTTCAAGAAGTTTATCCAAAGTGCCAGGGTCTGAGTCTTCCACAGTGACTGAAACTTAGTAAACTTATTTTATTTACTTTGTATTTTAATTTTCATGGTATAATCTTGTAAAGCCCTTCCCCTCCACCCCATTCCTTGATGGAAACAGCCCCTTCATTTGACCACAGCTCACTGCTGTCTCCAGCTGCTGACACAGCTCTTCCCTGCTCTTGTACTGCCAACCAAAAAGCACCACTGAAAGAACTGCAGATTCCTACAGCTGACGCTGCAGCACAGCTCACACAGCAAAGCTGTTTCGGAAAAGCTGGTTAGCACAGGAATTAGAGGAGTAATGCAAAATCCAAGGAGTCCCCAGGGAGGCAACAACAAAGGCCACTGGTAAATCCAAGTTGCTTAATGACAGCAAGGCATGCTGCTGATAGCAGGGTGT